TTTTATACAGTTTAGTCGATGATCTGCACTTTTTTTTTCTTTTTTTTCAACAGTGATGACTAACTAAAGCCGAATCTTACACATTTATATTAACGCATATACAATATGTGAACGTGAAAATGAGAAGATAAATCAATGATATAGATTTATGAAACACAACAAAGATAAAATGTTGACAATATATTACAACATCGACGATTATGCATGGTATATACTGTTTATATGTTACAAGATTTAACTACTGTCTCGATGATATGTTACCGCAAACTCATCAACTTTAACATGCGAAGAGGTACTAAGAACTAAAGAGTAATATTCTTCTCAATGATTAAAAAGAAATGTTGGTCTTTGGTTTCTCGTTCGATATCTAATAAGGAGTAACGTGACTTTCTTAACAGTTTTTCGCGAGAAGATTTAGTAAGAAATTTCAGTTAATTTTGATCACAGCGATGACCCCGGTTCTCAATTCTATAAAATCGATTTAACGTTACTCGTTAAATGGTACAAAGAAAATGTCTATTGTTTCTTGAGAACGTGCAGTATCCGAAAATGTACCTCAAAATAACTACGTAATATGTTATCAGTCCATATTATATCAGGCAGCATTGCATTTATACCTGTGCTGTAAAGTCGCAATATATCTCTATACGTATCGTCGTTAAGTCTCCACAGGCATCAGAGATTACCTTCCTCTTAGATCTCACAGAGCGAGACGTTCTTAAAATAGAGTAATTAAAAACCCAGACCCTCTCTGGGGATTAAACACAGCAATACTGATACTCGAAATTATTACAGCTACATTATTGCGTTTAATAATCTTCCACTAATGATCGCTCAGAGAATGAGAGAAAAGAATGATCGCCACGAAAGAATACTTTTAAAATACAATGGATCCGTGTAAAGTCAACGTAAAAGTTAAAATGTACTGACTCTCGTTTACGTTGTCCGTGTACTTTGTTCACTAAAATTGACTAACCCATAGTCGTATAATGACGAACATCATCTTGCTTCGCAATCAAAACGCATCCTTTATGTTTTGGAATTGTCTTACCGCCAGGTCCACTGGTAGGTCGAACTTATAATTCGTAAGACGATCGAGAGTGTGAAACGCATCTTGGAAACCTGTTTGCAATAATAACAGAGTCAGGTTCATTTTAGTTTTCATTTTAATAATTCGTTATACCTGTTTTTACGACATAACTCCACGATGCATAATGATTCTCGAGAAGGTACTGGCATTGCAAGATCAGTTTCAACCAAGCCACTAGTTTCTTAGCACTGTAATAAAGCATCGATGAGTCGTGAGTTTCGAAAAGACTTCTAACATTATTTACTTACTTCAGGGATGCACATATGAACGCTTTAAAATGNTAACGTTTTATACAGATTTAGTCGATGATCTGCACTTTTTTTTTCTTTTTTTTCAACAGTGATGACTAACTAAAGCCGAATCTTACACATTTATATTAACGCATATACAATATGTGAACGTGAAAATGAGAAGATAAATCAATGATATAGATTTATGAAACACAACAAAGATAAAATGTTGACAATATATTACAACATCGACGATTATGCATGGTATATACTGTTTATATGTTACAAGATTTAACTACTGTCTCGATGATATGTTACCGCAAACTCATCAACTTTAACATGCGAAGAGGTACTAAGAACTAAAGAGTAATATTCTTCTCAATGATTAAAAAGAAATGTTGGTCTTTGGTTTCTCGTTCGATATCTAATAAGGAGTAACGTGACTTTCTTAACAGTTTTTCGCGAGAAGATTTAGTAAGAAATTTCAGTTAATTTTGATCACAGCGATGACCCCGGTTCTCAATTCTATAAAATCGATTTAACGTTACTCGTTAAATGGTACAAAGAAAATGTCTATTGTTTCTTGAGAACGTGCAGTATCCGAAAATGTACCTCAAAATAACTACGTAATATGTTATCAGTCCATATTATATCAGGCAGCATTGCATTTATACCTGTGCTGTAAAGTCGCAATATATCTCTATACGTATCGTCGTTAAGTCTCCACAGGCATCAGAGATTACCTTCCTCTTAGATCTCACAGAGCGAGACGTTCTTAAAATAGAGTAATTAAAAACCCAGACCCTCTCTGGGGATTAAACACAGCAATACTGATACTCGAAATTATTACAGCTACATTATTGCGTTTAATAATCTTCCACTAATGATCGCTCAGAGAATGAGAGAAAAGAATGATCGCCACGAAAGAATACTTTTAAAATACAATGGATCCGTGTAAAGTCAACGTAAAAGTTAAAATGTACTGACTCTCGTTTACGTTGTCCGTGTACTTTGTTCACTAAAATTGACTAACCCATAGTCGTATAATGACGAACATCATCTTGCTTCGCAATCAAAACGCATCCTTTATGTTTTGGAATTGTCTTACCGCCAGGTCCACTGGTAGGTCGAACTTATAATTCGTAAGACGATCGAGAGTGTGAAACGCATCTTGGAAACCTGTTTGCAATAATAACAGAGTCAGGTTCATTTTAGTTTTCATTTTAATAATTCGTTATACCTGTTTTTACGACATAACTCCACGATGCATAATGATTCTCGAGAAGGTACTGGCATTGCAAGATCAGTTTCAACCAAGCCACTAGTTTCTTAGCACTGTAATAAAGCATCGATGAGTCGTGAGTTTCGAAAAGACTTCTAACATTATTTACTTACTTCAGGGATGCACATATGAACGCTTTAAAATGGGAATCGTAACTTCTCTTGTACGGGCTGTGCGAGGCAATGATATTCCCGATAGTCGTTAGTAGGCTCTGGAAATTTTAATCATTTTAAATAGTAGAAATTTTTATTACCTTAATTTATTGCATTAAGTAATACCTGTTTGGAGGATACAATTCTTCCTGTGAGATCTAGATTAAAGCTTTGTGATAATTTCTGTGCCGGGCTAGAATTGTAACGGTGGCCATTTTTAATTTCATAATATTTCAATATTAGTTCCCATGCGTGCATTAAATTGGTAGCAGAGGAGTGTCTTTGCGGAAAACATCCAACGAACGGAACTACACTATTGGAACGCACGTCGGACATTAATCCATGCTGCATTAAGTCGCGTACGGAGGTTGCTAAATGCTTCCTTACGGCAGATGTTACTCTGGCATTACAATTGGATGAGGAGTCAGAATCCGAGGCGTAATCGTTTTCGTTAGCAGCGTCGTCGTCATCTGGATGGTAATTAACTTCTGTGATCATTTCTATAACATGCTCAACAGCTATATCCAGTCTGGTTCTCAGATCGCGCCATTTGTGCATCGAATTTTTCTTGAAGTTCCGCCGCACTCTTTCACTGCCGCATCCCAACTGGGACATTAGGAACATGTGCAACAGAGCAACCACCTTCTTAACAGTGTTAATCGTCTTTGTTGCATTTTCCTCCTCTATTGGTTTCTTCGTAAATGCATTCCTAGCGTAAGAAGAAGAAGAAGTAGCTGAACCACTAGTGTGTACTGGACAAGCACAAGTACACGCTAGGGTCTCTGTGCTAACTTCCCCTTGAAGATAATTTATAAATCTCTCTAGATCCGTAATTTGTGTCTTCAATTGAGATACTAGTTGTTCCTTCATTTTCAAAGGACTAACGATCTACAAAAGAAATTTATTAATTCTCTAATCCACGAGGGAATGCTCATTAATGCATCCTACTGAGTCAAATGATTTACCTGACTTATAGCATAATCTACTTGCCATCTTAAATCGTCAACCGGTAGTTTGCAGAGCTCGTCGACATTAAAATTCAATTTCTCTTTTAGGTGACCTGAAAAAGAAATCATGTTAATCTAAAGTTTATGTGTGAAGTTTCAGTCTTGTAGAACTTACTGATTATGATATTTTGCCGTTCTAATATCATGCTCTGTGGTAAGTCTGCATCACCAGTCTCATAAGCATACTTCTCTAGATCCTCCAACTGAGATTTCAGTTGGCATATTAGTTCTTTTTGCTTCGTTCTTTGCAAAGCCATTTTAGATTCAACATCAACATCATTAATCACACCGGATATCTGTTAAATTGCACAAACTAAGCAGATTTTGTTTATAAAAAAAAAGTTAAAAATGAGGTAAGGATCGAAAGCTTGAAAATAACAGAAGCATATGTAAAAAAAAAACAACATGTGTAAAAACATTTATTTCCCAACATAACATAGGTTTTATCTACAAAATAATTAAAACTTCGCTAGAAAACAAAGAAAAAATATATCACAGATCAGTATGCATGTCAGCATTTTACAAGCAAAGCGAGTTGTATTAGAATTAGGCGAACACACAGAGGAAATCATCGTGAAAAAAGAATTAAAACAAAAGTGTGAAAACTTAAAGAAAGTATTAAAAACTTGAAATACTAGCACGGCATATTGTTGCACAGCTTACGCTTTGCTTGCAGGACACTGGAGAAGTCGGAGTGATTGATCTACTATCAAGTGACAAATTATTTGGAACATCAGGGATTCCCCTAAATGCAAACTCTTCTAACTCTTTGAGCAATGCCTCCTTCTCATTGGTTGGTGCATCCACAATTTGTCTTAAACGAAACTGAACCTGAAATAACGAAATAGCATAAAGAAAAATGTTTTTTAGATACTAAAGAAGCATTCTATACCTGGGCAAAATGAGTAGTCAATGCAATGAGAGATGAGTTAAGCAACTCCTGTTCCTCCTCCAGCACCTTCAGCCTCTCCATATCGTATGATAAGCTGAGAGAAAAAAAATCGTTGCTTAATTACAATAACAAGGAAATATCTTAAAAACTTTGAGGAGAAGGCTACTTACTTCTCCATGTTATCTACATATTTATACTCATCGGCGAAATCATTGTCGCAATCGTTCGCCCCGACTGGCGCCCACCTTTCTCCAGAAGGTCTGTCGCTTTCATCCGAATTCTCGATATCCTCTATCTCGCAACCCTTATGTTCCTTAGCACTCATTTTCTTATCGTCTACGATCTCGTCTTTCTTCTACAATTCGAGTTCACATTGATCGATTCCCCTCCTTAGAAACAGATCCGGCGTAGTCAAACGAGACCCGATTCCCGCCTCCGCTTTCTACGTACCAGAAAACTGATTCCCGTTGCAGGACATCACAACGCTCTCGGTCTTCCACCTTTTCTCGTCACGTTTAATCCATTAATTAACTTCTGCGCACGTGTACAACTGGAAACGTCACTGACTGTTGTCGATTGCGATTAGGCGCCCCTGTAAGGCGCGTTCTCAAATCCTCGTCGCCATCATAGATTTATAATGGCGTCAACAGACTGGTCGCAGAGAGTACACTAGAGGTGAAATTACTGCCAAATTTTTTCGTATTTTCGTCTCTAAGTTTAGTGGCCTTGACATTCTACATACGTATATGCAACGCTGCCGCTTCTTCAAGTTGTGAGCAATTGGTGAGCAATTATATGCAATTAAAGAGCAATTTTTCAGCTGTTTCATCGATATTGTGAGCCAGCTTCACACAGGTGGACCGGGTGCATGCACTAAATGAAGAAGGAAATGTGGCGACATTTGAAACGTTGGAAATTACGACTATATTCGAACCACCGAGAAGTGCGGTAATAATTGAAAATATACAGCTCAATGATTCTCTTAACAATCGCGTTTACAATTTTGAATTGTCCGAATATTTGATCATCTACGCGCATGGTGACCCACAAAGCGTGTACGTAAGCGCACTGGTTTTTGAAAAACGCGGGAGTTTCTCCTCTTGGTGTACTCTATGCCTGGCCAAATTGTATTCCCCTTCCCCCCACCATCATTTACAGTTGGATTTCTTCAGTGCTTCTCAACTACCGTTCAGGTACGATTAATTCAAATTCTCTGGCTTAACTTAAACTTTATTATTTAGTTTGGAATGCTGAAAAAATATACGAAACTAAGGATATTAAAAAGGATATTACAGATATTTAGTTCGTAAGCCTAACAAACACATAGACAAAGCAGGCAAAGTTGGGCAAATTTCGTTCAAGCATCACTATGTATAGAACCGAGTAGGGATATATATCCCCCTCTCGGCTTAAAGTTGCCAACAACGGTGCACCCTGGCATAGAATTGGCTCGTTTTTACACGATAAAAATCTGGCTGTGATCGATTCAGGCTGCTACACCATGCTACACCAAGACAACTCAATAACGGTTCATTAAACTGGAGCTCTATATTTTCCGCACAAGTTTCGCACGATCTGTCAGCCTCGAAATAAATCGTGAAGCAAGATACCGTGAAAATTCATCGACGCAGCATTATGAACGGGCCATTACGTTTCTTTGAAGGTTTTTCTTTCAATGAATAATAGGGTTCCGTACGTTTGTTCGATAAATGTGTCGGGAACCGTTGCATCGCCCGGTTGCCGTTTGTGATCGGTCGTCGTTAGGATAACAACGAGGACGATCGTAATTGATGAGTGAATAGTGAGATATGCCCATGAAAGAAGTCCTTGAAGAAATCTATCGAATAACCTGCACCTCTTGACATCTACTCGGTGTCGATCGGTACATCGTCGCAAGCTGTGCGATCCATTCTCGATACTGATTCAGAACGAGAAGATAGTGAGTCGCTTTTCGTGGTGTTCCGCGATGATGCGGCTGGAGACGATCCTGGCGAAGCCGGCACGAAAGAAACGGAACGTCGACGCACTGATTGCCGAATGATTCCCGAGGATCACATGGAACAATAGTCTTTAGAGAGTCTCGCACTGTTCGGACCTGTCTGCTTGCCATACATATATCGATGCTCTTAGGGAATCGTTGTTGAAGTATTATAGGTATCATCCTTCTTTCCTCTTTAGAAGATTCGTATGTAAATTGAATTTCATTGTTCTCCGCGCGTTGCATGCATATTTATAAAGCACCGTGTACATCTTAGATTCATTTTCGTTAGTTGTGATGAAAATTGTTTTACAGTTATACATGAAATGGGTAGTGCTTGGTGGCAGTGCGCTGCATGTCTGAGAGCACAAGAAGAAGATATCTACGAGTTGAACTTGAGCCACTATAATCTTTATGATGTACCACCTGACGTGTTCATTTATGAAAGAACATTGGAAAAGCTTTGTCTGGACTGTAATAGAGTAAATATCAATGCCATTAATTTGCTCTTTTTAATGATGTTCGTTGAATATACTAACGACAAACATTTTTCCAGATAAAGGATCTTCCAAGGCCACTGTTTCAGTGCCATGAGTTACGAGTACTATCCCTTAGCGATAATGAAGTCACCACGTTACCACCCGCCATAGCATCGTTAATCAACCTTGAATATCTAGACCTCAGTAAAAATAGTATTAAAGAACTACCAGACAGTATAAAAGAATGTAAAAATCTTCGTTCCATAGATATCAGTGTTAATCCTTTCGAACGTTTTCCCGATGCTATTACGCACATCGTTGAGTTGCGGGAATTATATATAAACGATGCATATATAGAATATTTGCCAGCTAATTTCGGGAGACTCTCGGCTCTCAGAACTCTGGAGCTTAGGGTTAATAACATGGTGACATTACCAAAGAGCATGAGTCGTCTGGTAAACTTGCAAAGACTTGATATTGGCAACAATGACTTCACTGAATTGGTATGTTCTCCTTTTATCTATGACAGATAATAGGTACTTCTATTATCTATTAATTAATTGCGCTTTTTCAGCCTGAGGTTGTTGGGGATCTAATCAATCTCACCGAGCTGTGGATAGACGGGAATGATATCAAGCGTATACCAGTCAACATCAATCAACTGTACCGTTTGAATCATTTCGATTGCACGATGAACACGATCCACGTGCTCCCATCGGAGATAGAAGGCTGGAGAGATATTTCGATTATGCATCTTTCTTCCAATGAGATTTATCAGTTACCGAATTCCCTGTGCTATCTGCGAACAATCGTGACCCTCAAAGTCGATCGCAATCAATTGAGTGCACTGCCAAACGACATCGGACAAATGTCGAACTTAGAGGAGCTTATAGTTACTAAGAACTTTCTTGAGTATCTACCATCGTCGATAGGTCTTCTACGGAAACTGCACTGTTTGAACGCTGACAATAACTGCTTGAGATGCCTTCCGCCAGAGATCGGAAGCTGCACCTCGTTATCGTTGCTTTCATTGCGATCAAATTATCTGACCCGGGTCCCGCCAGAGTTGGGTCATTTGTCCTCGTTAAGAGTACTCAATCTCGTGAACAATTGCATTAAATATTTGCCTGTTTCTATGTTAAACTTGAATAACTTGAAAGCGTTATGGCTGAGCGACAATCAAAGTCAACCACTGGTGCCACTGCAACAGGAGTTCAATTGCGAGGAGGATATGATGGTCTTGAGCTGTTTCATGCTACCGCAGAATCCGCGGCAGGAACTTGAGCGTGAGTATCATTAAATTCTAAATAACTAATAACTATGTAGCGTGTCCAATATATCTTGAATTTAATTTTATAAACGCGTATTTAACATCTATGTGTAATATATTATTGCCGCTAGTCGAAAATGAGGAGGAAGATGAAGAATGAAATGGTAAAGTATAATATTCAGAAAAATACGAGCTATATTTCTTGAGATTGTTAATAGTTTTCATAGTTTTCACAGTATGCCTGTGTTCTTAGTAAGACACGATTTTATGTTTGTAGAAATACCGCCGGCTGTAGGACTAATTTCGAGTTCGATTGTTGGTACCGGAAAGAGAATATGTTTTGCTGCTGAGGTAGAATCCGAGATCCCTAGACAACTCCATCGAGCACCAACACCCTACCCTAAAGAGCTGCGCAACCTTGCTAGGCATGCCCGTAATTTGCAACATCAATCAGCTCATGATCAAAGAGTAAGTGTCGTCGTTCAACAATAATCCACTCAACTGTTCTCGTTCGAAAGTCGAACAGTTACTTGCGTAACTCTAAAAACGTAGGAAAGTGACACCATAAGATCTCGATGACTTTAAGTTGGTATCTATATTTTTATTTTATTTTATTTATTTTTTATTATGTTTACACAAAGATAGAGCGATACGAAACAATTGGCGATTGACACTTCCAGATGCATTTAGAACAGGAGACAATGATCAAAGAAGCTATTATTGCAAAAGCTACTACTACTCTGGATCTTGCCTCAAAAACTGGGACCTGTTTCTCACAAAGTTTCTTTAATAAGGTATTGATCAAAAAGAATTATGTAATAGAAAGGCAACGCTTATTGCCTTCTTGCCTGCTTATATGTTTATTCTTCAGGGTTCACATGCTTCACTCTCACCTGTCGATCGCAACACATCAAAAGGATACAAGAGCGCGAGCCCTACGGATATCGGAACGGAGCAGTCAGTGTCAGAGGAATCATCGGACGAGGCAAACAAGACAGTGCTCGCAAAGGAGAAGAGTCCAGACATCCGAGAAGCAAAGTATATCCGTAACCCGACATCGGAGTATTTATCAAAGCCCCCGACAGTGGCGGATTACGTGAACTCGACGTGGAAACCGGACGAATACTCGAAAGCGAACACAGCAAAAATCGTGGAATCGGAGAAGTTCGCCGTAGGCAGTAACAACGGCGATCAGATGCACATACAAGCGCCAAAATTGAACGAAATTCCCCCTGTGCCACCGCCTTATCATATCGCTGCTGCGTTCTCCAAGAAAGCAGCACTTTTCCAACAGTTAAATCAATGTATGTTTTCGTTTACTTGCGATGCTAGTCTAAAACGGTTCCCAAAAATATCCCTACTTTGATTTCAGCTGGTCAATCGGACTCTCCAATGATCGTCTCCCCGCAAACGGACGTTAACATATCAAATCTGAAGGTGTCTCAGGAAACTCAGAACTATGATGGAAACGACGAGTCGTTCAAAGCGGAGGAATACGTGCGTCTGTGCAACGAGAAGTTCTCGTCCAACACGGATGGCTCGGACGTGGCCATCAGCAATGGGAAAACAGATTCCACTCCCGATCAGACGAATCTGTTGACCGAACCGAGTGACCAGGAGCAATCCTTTGAGGGCGATCGATCGTTGAAGCCGAGCAGGATCCCGATCTTGAAAACGAAGCACCTGGACTCCGCGAATCCCGCGCCCAACAACAGCGACTTGTCCAACAAGTGCATGAACTCTTCCACAGAGGACTACGAGAGTTTGAAGATGCTGAATTCCTCGAGTATCCCCACGTCACCTGTAACGGGCAAGAAGTACAGAAGTCCGCTCTCCATGCAACCGAAGTTCGGTGATCGACCGAAAAAAATAATGAACGGGACCGTATCGAACAATAACGCGTCCTGCGATAATCTGTCGTCGCTGAACACCATGAATTCGAATTTAATTGGAAATCCAGGTTTGGATTGTCAGGATGGTCCGTTGAAGAGCGTACCCAATGAAATGTCGGACGCAAACAGTCCTACGAGTCTGAAGAACGAGACTAATTCCGGCCGAAGCACGCCGGTCCTGCTGAACAACAAGTCTTTGAGCGAGTTGGTCAATTTGGACAGGAGACCGAGGTTCAAGTGGATGTTTGGCCCCCATAGAAATGCTAACGTAGTACGTAATTCGCAATACAAGAAATTCGCGAAGTTAATCACGCCGAGAGATAATCAATTGCTAATTTTGCAGTTGCCTGTTCAAGTTAGAAAGAACCCGGGCCTCGGTTTTAGCATAGCTGGCGGTGTTGCAGGCGCGGAAACCGTGAGTCTTACAACCTCTCTTGAAAGAGGATCTCGTGACCCGTCGACTAACATCGTTCTTTGCCCCTTCAGGGAATTATAGTGACCAAAGTGAACCCTGACGGGCCTGCTCAAGGCACTCTTCGACCTGGAGATAAGATTCTGGAGGTGGACGGTATAGATTTCACAAAGTCCGATCACAACAACGCCGTGGCTGTTCTTCGAGCGACCGGTGCCGTTGTGTCGATGATGATCAGCCGCCACCAATGACGCCAGACTATCGGTTGATCAGCATCGACTCCCGCGATTCCTGACTGATTTACGTAAGCCCTTATATCTTGTATTTTCGTTTTGTTACGATTAATCGACACGGAGGAAGATCGGCGATGAAGAGGACTCTTGCTTGGTTCGCTTGTTTGCAAACAACGTTGGTAGTGCTCTCTCTCCGACACTGTCGAGCGACTGATTTGTACGACTGAGGCAGCGTTACCAAAGGTGAGAGTGGGCAGTTCACAGATGAAACAAAATGTTTGGCTTCCAGTGGTCGTACGCGATTCGCATAAATATATACACCTAAGTACTCATACATACATACATACACACAGACATACGATACAAACACGTCGTGTTTAAGGGAATGAGTAACAATAAGCGGCAGTCGACAATTCGTTAGGGTATACAGTAGACTAGGAGCATGGTCCCCTGCACAATTATCGGAGGCGAAAGAGGTTTGAACATTGTGATGTACAAGAGAGTTATTTTTAAGAGAATATTTCTTCACGGGCCAATTCATATGGATAGCGTAAGGTAGTGGCTATTTAGCGAACAGTTTAGATAAGTTCAAACCCCTAATACCCAGGGTGACAATGAAATAATCACTGACCCCGTGAACATATGCATTATGTTGTTTTATGGTGTTGGTTGTATTCGTGTGGACTCGCTTGTTCTCCTGCATGGAGAGCTGACAATGTGCCAGAAACAAATTACTATTTATTAATCGTATACATGCAAAGTAATTATATTAAAGTGAATCTATGTATATGTATATATATATACACACACATATATAGAGAGTATATATTGTGAATACATATATATATATATATATCGTAGATTTGCCGGGTCAATCGTGAGAAATAGGACACCCGAATGTCCCTGTTCGAGTGAAAGATCAAAGACACTGGTCAAGACAAAAGTTCAAATATGGGTCACACGTGATTCTCGAGGTCGTTCGAAGACCGTCGATGTGTTTTTAGACGACACTATAAAACTAAAAATACAATATTCAAGAAAATATCGACGATCTTCGAATAATTCCGAACAAAATCTTTTCGGTGACAATTTAGGCAATTTAAATAGAGTCGTTCGGATGTCCTATTTTCGCGAGTCACCCTGCACGTTATATGCGACATTATCTTTGATAGTTGGATGGGATTTTTGCAGACTTTTTCTTTTTTTATATATACGAATACATATATATATATATATTTTTTTTTCGGATGCGTTGAAATGTTTTCTATCTTAAATTTGCACAAACATTACGATGAGTGAGCTCTATTTCTTTGTTTTAAATAATATGTATTATTTTATAAGACGGCATTCGGTACGATGCGGAGACAAAAGTATTCTTCTATGTGCCGTAATTCGGCTCGTTTCGTTTTTATTGGACGACTAGGCAATTTTATGCTCGTTTTGCTTGCCATGGATTCGTGATACGTTTTATATTTTAATGATGGCTAAAGGAAAAGTTTATTTTATGAGTTTTTTTTTTCTTTCTTTCTTTCATTATGTTTCTCTTCTTTCCTCCTCCGGATGTTAGTATTTTCGACGAGAGAGACGTATCGTCGTCTCGTTGTGGTTGTGAATCATTATGATACTCGAATTCACTCGTATGTTAAAGGAACAAAAGTGTATGTACCTCGTAGAGGAAACTGTTCTCTCGGCGACAGTTATCGTAAGATAAAAGGAAAAGCGAACGCTACTTTTCTATGTTAGTGGATCGGCAACAGGCGGAATGAAAGTTATTCGCACACGTAAATGGCGTAGAGCTGTGAGATCGATGTTTTAGAAAGGTTGTAAACGACGATGTGTAAGCACCATGCGGAAAACGATTTGCCTGGACGAATACACCGGTTCGAATCGGTATGCGTACTTTTACAAGAAGATCGTAATACTGCACTTTACCTCGCATAGGAAACTGTTAGGCGCATTCTTCTCGTTCAAACTGCGGATGTTCGTTGGACTTCAGCTCCCAAGATTTCTTACGATTTGTCTATTTAAGATTCTATCCAAATTCGATAATCGGACTGCGGGTTTCATGGATTTGTATGAAAAATGAGCATGCGAAATATAAAACAATAGAAATGCATTGTAAGCGTGTAAACATAACGAGCACGTTGTTCGACGAATAATGATAATTATTAACCGAGAAAGCAAATCTCCATTTCACTGTCTTTTCTTGTAACGTGTACGCATAAAGATATTATTTCGCATAAACAATATCCGCGGTCACTGAGAACTCTTGTCAGCTGCATGAACAACCGCAGCATTAATTAATTCTACACTATTCCGTTTCCACAGATTAGAAGAGAACAGTTCTTGTTTTCCGTTGTTTCTTAGACTGTCTCTTTCAGGACATTCGAATGTTTGTTTGTTTCGTTAGATATCTATTTAAGCACACACGCACACACGCGCGCACACACATACACACACACACAAACCTCTGTGTTAATGTTGAAATAACGTATTACCAGTTAAAAGTTGCGGTAGCGACGGAGGCGGCGTATTTATGAGTGTGTGTCTGTTGAGCATGATTTCAAATCTACGTGTACATATATATAATTATGTAATAAGTATATGCTAGTGAGTAAGAGTTACTCTATACACGATATTCTACAATTCTCCGAGCCTCGGGATCGTCCAGCATGCGTCGTTTTCTTCCTCCGGGACCGTGACGAGGCTTGGATTTTCCAGAATTGAGAATCACGGCGGAAAATGTATATTTTCAGAAAGACTTCCTTCAAGTTACAAAACAAAAAGCCCATAGAGACCCGCTCGCTGTCTATGGGGGTGTCGCGGCACACACATTTCACACACATACGCGTACATATGTCTTAGGCACGCGAGTGCGCGGCGATATATATTTTCCAAACGAGCGGCGCGGAAGAAGCAAAAAGAAGAAAAAAAAGAATTATTTTTTATCCTGACTTTTTGCTTGCGTATTTTGTAAAATCTTTAAACGACTAATATACTCGATTGATGAGGTATTCTTAGTGAGAGTTATACACGATCCGGGGACTTCTAAGTTTAAGCTGTTGTTGTCCGATATTCAAAAGCGAAAACCTGACGATGCTCGAGAATGACGTAGGATGCACCGTTGCTTTCCTTTCGTTTTTTCTTTTTTTTTTTCTTTTTCTTTTCAAATCTTTGGTTTCTTTCTTCACTCTCGACGAGTATACGCGTAGCTTTATCCGACGAAAGCAGCTTTGCATTTACACTCTTGGACTAACTACATTACCAATAATAATCTATATACACCTAGTCATATTCGCGCGCGCGAGAGATAAGTATAGTATGATTGAGGGCGGGGACAAGCCCCCGCCCGATCACGTCTGTGTTTCTATCGATACTCTTCTCTATCTCTCTCTCTCTCTCTCTCTCTCTCTATCCGTAGGGTTTCCATTTTCTTTCGATTAAGAGAGCTGCGATAGGGACGAGGTTCTCTCTCGTTCGTCCGTCGAAACCGGGAACCTGCATTTATTCGTAGTCGATATCGTTTCTTTTTTATGCCAGATAGTTTGTCCGGTGGCGGATTATGCGAAACAGAATTTCGGGGGATCGAAACCTCGATAATGTTGAGAACGAGAGAAAGCAGCGAAATTTTTATATTACTTCTCAATTTTATCTTCGTTTGAATGTGAATTCTTTTATTAGGATTTTTGCCCTTACAAACTAAAATATTTATAAAATATTTATACGACAACTAAGTTATACAGATTTTTCTTAACAAGTCGCAGTCTTACGTTCGATTAGATTAATCGATAGCGTTTAATAGAATACGGAACAGCCGAAGATTTTGTTGATAATTCTGCGACGATGGCAATTTCATTTGTAAACTAACAAAAGTTGTCTCTGAGGTCTATTAACTTGCTTCGAGATCAACATTCAACATCATTGGGGGTTTCTTGAAAAGAAAAAGAAATATTAGCAGGCTTTCGGTGGTGATATTGAATCGTTAACGAAACGTGTCAAATATTAACAGTTCATCGCCGGTTTCGGTAATTGGGGAATTAATTTTAAATGGAATTGCTTCTCGTTAAAGTGCTTTGATATCGCAGGATCTATCGGGCCGGTAATTTGCCGGCCGACACGCGAATAGAATTCTAACATTGTTGTTGCGAACGATCACCGGAGGGAGGGGGGGGGTAATTTAGTCGAGCAATTAAGTAGCAATAATCCGCCACATCGTTAGTATCGTTCGAGGATTTCGGTTCTCGTTTCTCCGAAAGGCAACTTGATTATCATACAAAATTTTGGACCATGCGAACATATATATACAATCTTTTCTACTACTCTAACTACTAAACAGACTGACTACTTTTTGAGTAAATATTTATGTGGCATTTAAGGGAATGGAATGATTGCGTGGGAGCACGGGTGTGACTGAGTACATGGGATACAATTATTATAAAACCGTGTATATATACGTATATAAAGAGTTACGAGATACGTAAATACCGATAAGTGGTCGTACTCATTATGAACATCTTTTTATCGTTTCAACATGCGTGAATTCCGATGATTAGACTTTGTTTCTCTTTTCTCCAATCTACGCTCAGAATATTCCCGTAGAGAAAATCTGTGTCTATCCGCCCCCTCCCCCCCTCTCCCCCTTCTCCACACTTCTCACGAGAAGAGCAATCAATGCACAAAGGATACTAATCAGTACAACCACTTCCTTGACATATTTTTTTGTATATATATATGTATATATATAAATACATATATATATTCTCCTAGCATAATTTGTATGAACAATGTGTAATAGATTTAATGTACAAAAATGCTCACAGTTCGACTGGTCATCGTATATATATATATATATATATATAAAAATATATATATATATATATAATTAATAACTACCATTACAAGTTGTAACACTTTGAATATGTTAGTGAACATACAAGCAAACAGATAAAAATGACAAAAAACAAGATATTTTATCTTTATGAAAAAAACAAAGTCCTAGTTGGTTGTGCAGCAATAAATAAATTAATATTTACGTACAAAAAAAAAAGAGAACGTTGCGTCGTACTTTTTTCTCGCATCCAGCGATTAACAACGCCCTTGATCCAACAATCATCCGACTTAGCGTACATCCGCGTGGTATGAAAGTGCTAATAAACGTTCGGGAGAAAAGAAAAAAGAAAAAGAAGAAACGAGAAGCATGTTTCTCCATGCGTTGTATACCTGATCATGCTCCAATTAACAGGAACGAGGGGTTCTCGACATAGTCCTTCCATAGATTCGAGTATCTCGCCATGGTAACGCCGTCCACGACTCGATGGTCGGCCGCCCAGCTTACCGAGATTATGCTCGCAGCTATAATGTTCCCTTCCTCGTCGAATCGCGGTAGTTTCTGTACTTTACCGAACGCGCCGATCACGATCTGCGGTGGCAGGATCACCGGTTTCGTGTACGTGCCGCCGACCTGCGAAGTGCCATAATTGAAAACAAATCGGCGAATAGGATTCCCCTTTAACGTATTGTAAATTCATGGGCTGGGGCAGTGGACGGTGGATTTTCACGTGATTTCAAAGATTATTATTTTCGAAAGCTCTGTTTCCGTGATTTATTTAATTGAAATTTCCATACAGCAAATTCTCCCTAATTTTCCTTCGCTTTGTAAACTAAACTGGACAATTTGGGGAGAGGAGATACGATTATTCAAGCCTTTGCGACTCGTTTTTATAATCGAATAATTATTTTGTTTACAAGCTGTAGGAAAATTAGGGAGAATTTACTGCACCAGTAATTAAATTACATTAAATTTAATTCTTAAATGACTTCGCGTTTCGCAACTGCATTTGGGAATGCCTGTCTATTGGATGTTGTTGCAGTGAAATCGAAATTTCGAGTCGATTAAATTAATAGAGAAGCTGTTAAGAATACGATGTAACGAGGCTTCCGTTAGAAAAGCGCGGACACATTGGCGTATAACCGTCGATTCGACTAGCCGCGCATCGATCATCCTTCGCTTTCGCTAACAGTTCGGTCGAAACGTTGTTCAACACGATGTTATCGCGATGTGTCAAATTATCACACGGCGTGAACTGTTGCCAGAAGCAATTGGGACCGCAAAGCACGGCCGGTCAATTAAATCTCGGCGCGCCGGACCGGCCCGATGAAAAACAGTTTTTTTTCCCCCCCTCGCGATTAATTCAGTTTGTGCCGAATATCGGGGGAATCGCGTGCGAAATTAACGAATTACGTAATTGTGTTTCACGGCGCGGCGGGAAATCTCTCGACCCTTGCCCGCACATCCACGCAACTGTATGCATGTACACATGTATACNAAGGATACTAATCAGTACAACCACTTCCTTGACATATTTTTTTGTATATATATATGTATATATATAAATACATATATATATTCTCCTAGCATAATTTGTATGAACAATGTGTAATAGATTTAATGTACAAAAATGCTCACAGTTCGACTGGTCATCGTATATATATATATATATATATATAAAAATATATATATATATATATAATTAATAACTACCATTACAAGTTGTAACACTTTGAATATGTTAGTGAACATACAAGCAAACAGATAAAAATGACAAAAAACAAGATATTTTATCTTTATGAAAAAAACAAAGTCCTAGTTGGTTGTGCAGCAATAAATAAATTAATATTTACGTACAAAAAAAAAAGAGAACGTTGCGTCGTACTTTTTTCTCGCATCCAGCGATTAACAACGCCCTTGATCCAACAATCATCCGACTTAGCGTACATCCGCGTGGTATGAAAGTGCTAATAAACGTTCGGGAGAAAAGAAAAAAGAAAAAGAAGAAACGAGAAGCATGTTTCTCCATGCGTTGTATACCTGATCATGCTCCAATTAACAGGAACGAGGGGTTCTCGACATAGTCCTTCCATAGATTCGAGTATCTCGCCATGGTAACGCCGTCCACGACTCGATGGTCGGCCGCCCAGCTTACCGAGATTATGCTCGCAGCTATAATGTTCCCTTCCTCGTCGAATCGCGGTAGTTTCTGTACTTTACCGAACGCGCCGATCACGATCTGCGGTGGCAGGATCACCGGTTTCGTGTACGTGCCGCCGACCTGCGAAGTGCCATAATTGAAAACAAATCGGCGAATAGGATTCCCCTTTAACGTATTGTAAATTCATGGGCTGGGGCAGTGGACGGTGGATTTTCACGTGATTTCAAAGATTATTATTTTCGAAAGCTCTGTTTCCGTGATTTATTTAATTGAAATTTCCATACAGCAAATTCTCCCTAATTTTCCTTCGCTTTGTAAACTAAACTGGACAATTTGGGGAGAGGAGATACGATTATTCAAGCCTTTGCGACTCGTTTTTATAATCGAATAATTATTTTGTTTACAAGCTGTAGGAAAATTAGGGAGAATTTACTGCACCAGTAATTAAATTACATTAAATTTAATTCTTAAATGACTTCGCGTTTCGCAACTGCATTTGGGAATGCCTGTCTATTGGATGTTGTTGCAGTGAAATCGAAATTTCGAGTCGATTAAATTAATAGAGAAGCTGTTAAGAATACGATGTAACGAGGCTTCCGTTAGAAAAGCGCGGACACATTGGCGTATAACCGTCGATTCGACTAGCCGCGCATCGATCATCCTTCGCTTTCGCTAACAGTTCGGTCGAAACGTTGTTCAACACGATGTTATCGCGATGTGTCAAATTATCACACGGCGTGAACTGTTGCCAGAAGCAATTGGGACCGCAAAGCACGGCCGGTCAATTAAATCTCGGCGCGCCGGACCGGCCCGATGAAAAACAGTTTTTTTTCCCCCCCTCGCGATTAATTCAGTTTGTGCCGAATATCGGGGGAATCGCGTGCGAAATTAACGAATTACGTAATTGTGTTTCACGGCGCGGCGGGAAATCTCTCGACCCTTGCCCGCACATCCACGCAACTGTATGCATGTACACATGTATACAGAGGAAGCGCGAGGAGCGCAAATATTTTCTCCGTCAACGGGTCGAATTAAATTTAAAGCGATCTCGAGATTCAATTTGACCGTTCAGCCAATCGAGATCGCTTAACCCGACAGAGAGCGAGCGAGAGAGGCAGAGGGAGAGAGAGGAGAGAAAAATCACTTACCACGCCGATGTTGGAGAGCGAGAAGGTGGTGTCGGTCAGGTCGATCAAGGGAATGGAGGACTTTCTGCCCAGCTCCTGCAACCTGTTCAACTCTCTCGCGATCTCCAAAATGCTCAGGTTTTGCACGTTCTTGATATTCGGAACAACGAGGCCCTCCGGAGTGTCCATTGCTACGCCAATGTTGTGGCCCCCGAGGACACGCAACTCTTGGACATCCTCGTCCAGCCAGGCGTTCAGCTGGGGCACCTTCTCCAACGCCCTGGATGCCGCTTTGATGAAAAACGGCATCAGGCTTAGAGCGACGCCTTGCTCCTTCAGATTGTCCTTCACTTCATTACGGTAGGCCATTAATTTATTGACGGTGCACTCGTCGCTGTACACGAAGTGCGGGATGCTCTGCGAATAGTTGCGTGTATGTGCATGGTGGCAACAGAATGGTGGTGGTAGAGAACAGAGTTTATAACATACAAACAGAATTATTAATTAAGTTAATTCAGTTCATAATTAATAATTAAATTATATAATAATTAATATATAATAATTATATTATATATTATATATATTATGATTATATTATAGTAATTAATAATAAGTTAATAATAACCAAATTAATATCCCTTAAACCGAAGTAAAATTTTATTTCTTTGTTTATCGATACCCGACCATTAGATTAAACGTTAGCATGCGATAAATGTGAATCTAATTATTCCAGATAGGCGATTGTTAATAGGGAGGTTTAAACAAACGTAGGTTTAACGTGATGGTAGGACATAAGGTTGAATTGTTATTTGATCTGCTACTTTTCTTCGGGAGTCAGAGTTACAATGCACGTTCGTCCTTTCCTCTTAGGAAATAATTGAGAGCGAGGGTGAAAAATCATGGGAAAAAGGTGTCGAAGGTGTCGGGTCACGTCGTCGTGGTCTGACCCAAAATCTTCTTTCCTAAAAAAAATCTTTCCTAAAACCTGTGCCCGAATTTCGCAAAGTGGCACAACTTGTTTCGGAAAACCGCTGCGGGCGGGGTAAATCAGTGTGTACTTCTGGGATCGGAACGTTTGCGCGGCGGGCGCAATTAGCGAGAGAAAATACGGCCAGCATATTTGGACATTAAAAGTAACCGGCGGGGAGGGCGGGGGGTGCCTTTTGGAACGCTTTAATCGCGTTCGCCGCGCGGCGGCAACGTTCACGCGGAAATTCGAATCGATCGGTATCGGTCGTGTCAACGTCGGCCGCTGCCATTATCGGCTCGCCGTCACTTCCGGCGTTTTCCCAGCAACGAAATTTCAGCCCCGGCGAAAAATCCTCGGGGGGATATTAAATCCCTGGATCCCGTCCCGTCTTCCCTTCCTCCTTCTTTTTTTTTACCTCTGTTTCGTCTCCCGGTTCTAACGGGTGCACAGCCGAGCGGAGAGGCCGCACCGCCGCCGCTGCCACCCCCGTTTACGTCACGGTCGTTTAATCGCGGCACCAGCAGCAGCAGCAGCAGTTTGTTCGGCCGCGTCATTAACTCGGCCGCCTCGCCACGCATTGTTTTACAACGATTAACTGGTCGTTTATTTAACGGCTCTGCGGCCACGTGGGACGCGATACGCGAAATTCTGCTAATCTTGCAATTCACGCGTGGCCTGCATTTTATGCAGGCCGTCCCGTCCCACGTACGGTTTATTAATATCGCGAACAGCCAGCCACCGTTGCCATCTTTCAACGGCCGCGCCGTATGCCGGGAAAAAATTCGCGGGATTCTTTTTATCCGGGATTTACGGGCAATCGTTACGATCCATTGTAAACGAACGCGACCGAACAACCCCGTAGGCCAAGCGGCGATGGACAATGCCGCGAGCGACCGCGCTCGTTTCTATTATATTCGAACGTGATCCGAAACGCGGCTATCCGGTTCCAACGTAAACGCGGCCATTTGTCGAAAACATTATAAATTTTCGCCTACAGCCCAACGCGTCGAGACGCAAAGTACATTACTCGAAACACCGAGTTGCGAGAACTTTTCTGCGAGATCGACGAGTTCTGAGAATTTCGTCGAAGTGAGAATTCCGTTGCATAATATGTGCAATAAATCGTACTCTCGCGACAAAAGCGACACGGTTCGGCATGTTTTAACAAAATAAGCTGTCCGAATTGGATACATTATCTAAGCCGTTTCGACGAAATTACAACACTTTGATATATCTAATGATGTAATTTCTTCTCGGTTGCGACGAATTCGTAGAAACAACGAAGATCGGGTATCCGCAATTATGTACTTGTTTACGAACCACCCTTAATCCATTCACGTTACAAGGGAGAACGAACCATAATGACCCTGTCATCAATTGTTTCGTACAGCTGTGCAAAGTAGTAAGAAAGCGCGCGCACCTTGCAGTTGCCAGGCTGAGAAATGATGTCCCTTTATTTTCTTTCGCGATAAACAAACGAGCCGACGCTTTCCGGTCCCATAAGTCCGCGCGGTTTTAATTTCGACTTACGATCCCCCGTATAGTAATTGTCCAACAGTTGCGGTCTCGTTACATTATTCGAATCATTTTATTACTCGCGCGGAACAAATAGAAGCGAACAATCGCGCGACAAGAGAAAACCGAAGGTGCATCGAACGAAAATCCGGATCGTATTTAAAACAGCGAGAACTTACGAATCGACCAATCACAGTAATTTCTCCCAGAAATGTACGGAGGTCGGAATTGAAACCGGCAGATACGAGAATACTGGGTCGCGATTATTCGAGCCTTGCGGTTCGTTTTTACCGTTTTTCCTATTGTTAACAACTATGTTCTCATTCTCAATTTGTCCATTCTTATGTACAAGCTGAATCGAAATTAGGGAGAATTTATCGTACTATTAAAATGTACGAATAAAAGGGTTCATCAACGAACTTCTTATTGAGAGATTTTTATGATCGTAATATTTTGCAAAAGACAAAATTAGAAGCTAGTTATATCGAGTGATTAGGTGGTTCCAGCATTGATAATGAAATCATTTCTTCTGATCAATTTTCGTGGACTGAGAAGGCAATTTTATTACTGTCTATAAGGTTTTTCTTACCCGAGCAGATCATTTTGTGCCGTCTTCCTCCGCCACCCTTAGCATCGTCGTAGCAATAAATTGCATAGGCGCAGGATCAGTACAGGAAAATTCGCAGCCACCCGAAATTTGGCATTTCCGGGATAAATTACTGTACTTCCGATCGAGAAAACATCACGCTGACGACGCGAATGAGTTAAATACGAAGGTTAATTTGCCCGATAACATCGAGGAGCTAAACCAGGAACATGATTTTTCACCGTCTATCGAGCCTGTTCACGGGGGAAGCAATGATGGATCGATGCCGGAACCGGCATGAAAAATGGTCGAAGGTAGGAAAATTCTAGGGGAACCAGGTCCGCGCGCGTTCGAACACACACATCGCGGGAGAAAAGCCCGGCAATGGTCGAGAAGAGATTGCGAGTGGTCATTGCGGAGGCACATAATTCGCCTTTACGATTTCCGTGGTTGCTATCTCGTGCGGACTTACCAGCGATCGCGTCATCGTTTTCCACATATGCTTGGTGTAGCCCTTTATCGGCACGGCCTTTCCATTTGCTGGTTTTTCCGGGCCAGCGTTTCCCGCGGAACCAGCAGAAATTCGCTCCAAGTGCGCCAATATATCCTCTTTAAGTACTCGGCCGCCTTTGCCGGTGGGAACGACGTCCTTTAACGCGATTCTGTTCTCCATGGCTATCCGCCTAACCGCAGGAGTAGCCAGAGCTTTTTCTAGCCCATTTCCCGGCCCTTGTCCCTCACGATCGCCGTCCTCGCCGGCAAGATTTTTCCCTTCCGCAGCAGCCGGCGGCTCCTCGACGACGGCCGCCGTGGTACTCGCCGGTGGATTTCCGTGCGGGCCGTTATCGTTGTCCAGCTCGATGTCCAGCAGCGAATCCCCTATCAGAGCCACCTCGTCCACCTTGTAGTGCAAGGCCTTAATTAATCCGTCGTAACGGCTGGTAATCGTCACGGACGCTTTGTCGCTCTGCACCTCGCAAATGTTATCGAATTGAGACACCCGGTCCCCCGGCTTCACGAACCTGTGCATTCGAATCGCTCGTGTACAGAGCCCCGGCCGAATTCACGGTGCATTTAGGATGACAGCCGGCTAAAACCCCCCCTTTCCGCCCTCCGTCGACAATACTGCTTGCAATTAACAGCCCGAAAAGTTCGCACGACGGCGTCTCGTCGCGATTGTGCCATCCGATTCACCGGCGTTTGCTTTAGCAAACGGCGCGTTCGCGTAACGGCGCTCGCTTAAATCGGAAAATTCGCGAGCGGAGAAGCTACGCGCCGTGCGTGTACGACGGACGGGTTTTAATAGTTCCTCTTTTAAACGGGCGCTTAGCTTTCGCCGAGTTTGCCGAGCTTATTTCTAGATTATCCGAGGCAAACAGAAGCTCGCGCTCGCGCTCGCGAGCTGTGTCAGCTGAATAAAACGAAAGAGCCCGGGCAAGGCGAGTTTTGCCTTGAAGTTACATCGTGTCGGAGTTTTAAACGACTCGCGATACTCGCGGCAAGTGGCATTGTTTTCGAAAATTCTGTCTCAAGTATCAGAAGAAATAATAAACCGCGACGGCTTACGCGTGTCGCTCGCTTATTACCGTCGACGGGTCCTCGAAAGAGAAACAGAAAACGCCGTCTTCGTACGGGACCGTGCTTTTCGGCGAAAATCGCAGCGCATAATTGCGACGTCTGGAGGGGAATTCATTGTTTTGCTCACCATTCTTTGATCGTGACGTCTCGAATTCCTTCTCCGATATCCGATAGTTTGAAGGGGACGACGTTTCCGCATCGAAAGCCGCTTACGTGGAGAAATCGACATTTTTGATCGCGGACGCTCCTACCCTAAATAAACATGGATTTTCATTGTGTACACGCTCGGCAATAAAACCGAGAATATTCGATTCCGTAATTGTACGCCGCGCGTGTCAATGTTCGATTAGGAATCGACGCTTCGCGGGCCCTTGAAAAGAACTTCATCGATCAGAGGCGAAGTCGGCGATGCGGAACAGCTGATTTCCAGAGGCCCGACGAAAGCGGGAAAATTAATTATTTTTCTAGTGAAACTTCTGCGAATCCAATTGCACTCGCATAAACTAATTTTCCTCGCTTTCGAAGATGCTCTACGGAATGTCCCAAAATTATGGCATTACCGGGAAATGAGTGGTACTTCCTGGAAGCATTCCCGGAAGTTCCACCATTTTGGGACACCCTGTGAAAGAATCGTACGATGATAAGCTTCGGCTCGTTTCAAAGCTCGAAGCTTCTATTTTCGCAGGCCGTCGTTCATTTTTCTCTGCGATATTTTTTCTGCGCGACTGGATTTCCACAAAATTATGGTATTTCTGGGAACCGAGGATTTCCTGAAAGCAGAAATTTCTGTCGCGCAGAAAAAAGATCGCAGTGAAAAATGAACGCCGACATGCGAAAATGGGAGCTTCGAGCTTTGAAACGAGCCGAAGCTTATCATCGTACGATTCTTTTGTACGAAGTTACAACGTTGGAACAGCGACTGCCGCTACAAAGGGGAGACAATTTGATCTCGAAATCGGGGACAGCGCGAAGTGTGACAGAGGCATGCCGGGATTGAAAGAGCGGCATAAATAATGATCGTAATCGACTTCAAGGTACTGCGAACAGCTCCCGGATAATTATAATCCGATCCCTTAATTAAGTCGATCGATTACCAACGATTTGTTCTCAAGCTTCGGACGGGCGCTAATCTTAATGGAGCCGATAATTGAATCGCTGCCACCGGTGAGCCATTAAACAATTACAAAATTCATCGTGTTTTACGACTATTATATTCCAGATCCACGTTACGAGCACAGCAATTGTAATATATTTTGCCGCGTACCCAGCAACGAAATTACCTGTCGCGCCGATCCCTCTCCCCGTCGCGATCCAATTGCACCCGACCTTTCACCGGATCATTAACATCGCGATATTTCCATCTCGCGAATACATAATAATCGCGGCGCAACTTTAGGCTCTCGAATAATCGCGATAATACCGCGCGGCGGCTCCGCGTCTTTTAACCGAAAATTTTTAACCACCGAGAACTTTCGAACGTTCAAATTGCACGAACTGTTCGTTCAAATTGAACGAATTGTTCAACGACGCGTCGAACAGTAAATGATTCCTGGAAATTGCATCGACGCTGCAGAAACGCTCGAATTGCAAATTAACCGACCGAGCGCTAAAGATGTCTGACACGCGGTTGCTTCATAAAAGTTTCAGGACAGCGAACTATCTTTATTTCAATCTGTGCTCGAGCTGAGCGATTTGATCGAACATTTCCTACGAAAGATTCGTCGCGATTTCAACAATTTTAACGTCGAAACGGTCTCCGGCCGCGCGAGATCGAAAATGGAAAATAGAATCGCCGAAGCTTCAAGAACGAATCAGACCTTTGCGACACAGAAAGTTTCGTTATTACGATATTAATAATATGTTTGCCAACGTCGCCGGCTGTTGAAAACGCCCGGCTATTAGGTTGCCATTAGCAGACTCGGAATCACGGGGAGACGACGAACTAATAACCGAAGGTCTCGGGATCGCTAAACAGAAAGGCTTCCGCCCCTTCTCTGCCACTTCGTCCCCGATACAAATGCCGCCGTCAGCAATTCCATCGGCATCGAAACTTTGAAACTGTTAACGCGGGTGTGCGATAACTAATATTCGTCCGGATATTGGTTCTACACGGAATAGATTCGAAGGTGGCGAAGGGATGGCGAAGGGGGCTCCGGCGGAAGCGGAGAAAGGGGCTGGCAGCCCTCGAAACCCGTGCAATTCCGCCGATCCGATCTCTTTTCCGTCGGTCGGAAAACGCGAACGCTTCCGGTGGCGGTTTGATCGACGCGTCTTAATTTCATTTCCGCCTGTTTATCGCTTTACCACCGGCGCCCCGCATAATTTCACCCCAGCGCCGCAGGATCGGGTGGCCCCGGCACGGGGCCGCCACTTTAAACGAGCTGGACGAGCTTGCAAACGACGGGCAAACCTCGTGGAAACAAATTATGACACGCGCGACGATCGAAGATCGGTGATTTTCGGCACGCGGAAATGTTACGTTTCCGATTTTTACGTCGAACCTTGGTCTTCGAGGGTGCACTTTCTGCCCTTGGAACCGTTCGAGCGACATCTTGTCGAACAAAAATTTGTCTCAGGGTGTTTCGTTTCACGTGGACTCCTTAACCGGTTTAAGAAGAGCATTTATTTTGGTGTTATAGTAAATTCTCCCCAATTGACTCTCGGCACGGAAACAGAAATGGACAATTTGGGAAGAGGCGGTACGATTATTTGGCTCGCTTTTGTACGATAAAATTGCCTTCTTGGTCCACGAAAATGTATCGGGATAAATGGTTTTATTATCAACACTGGGACCACCTAATCACTCAAAATAACTAGCTTCCAATTTAATCTTTCACAAATACTAGAATCATAAGAATAGGAGCAAGAATAATCGCATCTCCTCTTCCCAAACTGTTCATTTTTGTGCACAATCTTAGCGGGAGAATTATAATATAATAATTCTATATTCTAATAATATACTATTAGGAAGAATTTACACTACTCACTAAATTATATATTTCATAAAGATGTTGCAATTGAACGAACTACGAAGAAAACCAAGCATATGCGACACGATTACAGTAGCTTGCACGCATCTCGAACAGATTGCGACAGCGCCAACCGGTCAATATATTTTCGTTATTTCCGTGGATCGAAAAACAACGAGACAACAGAGTCGTTCGATTCGGTTTCCGAGACTGTTTCACTCGCGCCGCGCGCGATTCTTCGCGAACGTCATTTCCACGCCGGTGAACAGAAAAATATCGCGCGCCGCGGCGAAGAATCGTCGGATTGTTTAAACGTTTCGAGCGGCTTGTAAACAGAGCGACGCGATAGCCGCCGTGCTAAAGCGAGATCCCGCGATCGATCCCACGCCGCAATTTCCACGGGGTACGTGTGCAATCTCTCGGGAAACGGATGGCTCTAGTGTTGTCTTACCAGACGAACGATGGCCGCGAGTCGCCAAGGTAGAGACGACATGATGGAGAACAGGGCGTCCCGCGATTCCTCTTCGAAATCCGACGGACCAGCGACCGACGAAAATCTCGTAGACACCGCGGACCGCGCGGACGACTTTTAGCCTCGTTATCTTTCACGCTGATAGCGGCGCGCGTTGCTCGCCTGTTACGCAACGCGATTCCGTGCTGCCTGTAAACATTCTCTGTCGCTGGCAACGCGATAGCTACTGACGAAACCAACAGAAACTCGCCGCGCGATCGCGCTTCTCTTTCGGCTTTCGGCGTTCGCTTATTGCGGCAGACCCCTCGCGCGAGGTTCGGTTTAATAGCAGGGGTTTGTTTGTTAAAAGCGGGCAAATGTTCGTGGTTTCATTTTCTTTGGAACGGCGGAAGCGATCGCTGTGGATTTTATGCGATTCCGACGGCCCCGGTGCTTTGTGTTTCGACAGAGAACGCGTGATCGATGCGTACGTAATTGCAATTATAGTGGAGACAATTTTTATCTGGCGAAAGATACTTTCATAGGAAGTGGTAAAATTGTCTTCTCGGTCTACGAAAATGTAGCAGAACAAATGATTTCGTTATCGTCAATGGAAATATACCTAATCAACTCGAAATACAACTTAGCTTCTGATTTCAATAAGAAATATGTTGGCGAACTCTTTTATTCGAGCGTATTTTTAATTATAATGGTACAATAAATTCTCTCTAGTCTTTCTTCAGCTTGTAAACAGAAATGGACAATTTCGGAGACAAAAGAGAATTTTATTGCTTTCTATAAACCTTATAAAGTTGTTAAACCTTAGTAATCCAACGTGGGAGTTGTTAAACCTTATAAAATACAACTATAATATACATAATATAAAATACAACAAAAGACTGGAACAGAGTTTGGGATAGAATTCGTTCAACTCGAGTAGGATGTAACCGAAATAAGACGATTTCCTCCGCAAATTCGAGTCCCTCGCGAACCGCTGCCATTTCACGCTGCAACCAGGTCCCGGATCCGCCATTTTGTCGGCGATCGTCGCATCTCGAGCCTCCGTTGAGCCGTCCTGTAGTCGCGGCTCGGCCTTAATTCTATTTAAATGCGATGCACATCGGATTTCCATAGAAATCGGCGAGCGGGCCGACAGATAACGATTATTGTTGAATCCGAATTGCTCGGTGAACGATGATAACCGCGTGTTCCTCGCTATCTTCGGCAGATTCCGCTGTTTGCTGTACCGAATGGGATACACTCGGAGCCGTGTCAGCACATTCCGGCTCGCTATACAACAGTTTTCGTTTTCTTCATCTTTTTTCTTCTGTCTTTTTTTTGGAGCCTGTCCTCCGCGAAAATTGGCCCACCGTTCCCGAATACGGGGTCATGAATATTCTTATATCGTCCGGTAATAAGACGCGGCCGAATACGAAATCAACTCGGCATAATGGCGGCCTGCACATGCACACGTGCTGCAACGACGACGCGACGCCGGCTGCGACACGCGTTAATTACGTTAATTCGCAACTGAAATCACTGGAATGTGTTAGGCGACACGTTCTTTTCGGGTCGCGCTGCTATCGTGGAAAATCGGCACCGAAATTCACCCCCAGATTTATTGGCCGTGGTTATAAATAACTCGTGGGCGACTCGGCGTTCGCAAGTATAATCGGAGCTTAACGCGGCGGCTGCTGAATCGGTAATTCGCCGAATAAAATGGACTCGGAGGGTGCCGCCGGTGGAATTTTTCTGAAAGAGATTTATTTAGCGCTGCTAATTGGCAGACGCCATTAGCACGCTCCCAAGCGAGATCTACAAAAGGCATTTCTTAAATTTTCGTTATAGGCTCGGACAAAAAAGTTAAGAAACGAGGGTTTTCAATTATTTCTCTTCGCTCCAAGTAATAGCAAAATTAAGGAAAAGCTTATAGCCATCGTCTGGTAGACCAGTCCCTCTATCATCTAAAAACAAATTCAAGCTATTTAATTCAGTTTTAAAATATTTATTGCGTTTTGAAGGCGTACGAACACTTCTGCGGGCCTCCGTGTACTCGTTTTCGTCGCGAATGTATCGAAAACGCAGTCTGTATCGACTGCGATTCGAACGTTTCTCATGAGATTGTTGCTTCGTGAATTAATTCGAAAACGAAACGACGGATATGCAACCAGCGCGGGGCGGGGTTAACGAGGGGCGACCCGACAGTTCCGCGAGGCGCGAAATTCGAAATTACGAGGCCAGAAATTCCATTATCGCCGGGACGGGGCGAGGTTAAATAATTCGGTGTTCGGCCGCCGGTGACAAAATCCATACGTAGATTCGATGACGCAAGCGTGACACTCTCGCTTCATGACTTATGGAACTGTAACCCGGTTTTGGCGGCCGATAAATTAGCGGAGCAACGAGAATCAAATTATCCGGAGTCGGTTTCGGCTCCGCGACGCATAACCGATTGGATCCACCGTGGGATCTTCGCGTTCGGCAAGGTATCCAGAATGTTCCTAATGGAAAAATCATTCGGAAAGAACGAGAACACGTGGCGACCGGTGCGGTCCCCTCCCTAATTGGATCGCGATTTACCAACCGGCTGAAATAATATCCACCGACGCGACCGTATCGCCGACCGCGGCGCGGCTTAATTAATTTAAATACGCCGGTGAACGACGAACAGCAGACCACCTCGTCCGAGTTTCAGCACCGGAATTCTCACCTTAACGAATCGGCGTGCTAGATCACACCGAAATGACCCGCCAAATAAATTACTTACCTGTGAAAGCTTCGACGATCGAGCTAAACTTGCCGCGTCTCGTTCGATAAATATGGAGTCGATTGTGCCCGAAAACGAGCCAAAGACACGGCAATTTGTCGCCCCACAGTAACCGGCTCCACTACCCCGAACACTGTGGATCTTGGTCGCCGAAGTCGGTCGCCAATGTTGTTGGCATAAATTCACGAAAATTATTAATATATACTCGTAGGGCCATTTTGAATTGCAGAAGTGCATTTAGCAACTTGGAATCGTATCTATCCGTATTATATTTACGATGTATTTTATATTGTAAAAAATGTTTTCGATTCGCGTCTCCTTTTTAACGCGGCGGATTTCCGCGGGGTGTCCAATTTGTAAACAATGCTCACGTTATTCGATTTGCATCCTCTACCGGACCGTGAATCGGCACCTGGAAAACGACGAACGATTTTTTGTTTGTGTCGCATAATAGTTTCCCCGAATCATGCGAGCACGATTCCAAATAATTGATAGGAGAAAGCCAAGTCTTGATAAAACGTGTAACGGGACACTTATAAATTCCTCGGAGGGCATAAATAATTATGAAACGACCAGTTTCCCCGCGGTCGATTTCTCGACCTTTTGTCCTCTTTCGCAATCGCGCGGCCTCTTCGTCGAGGGTCGTTCGGCCACCCAGCCGAATTCCCGTGTCCCGGCGAATTACGGATTCCAGGTATCGGGTTCGTTAATTTTTCATACGGACCAGAAGCAAAGAGACCGTATGTTTAATTAGAGCCCCGATATTTTATTCGGAGAGGGATATTTTCGATGCGCCGCGGACCGGCAGAACGATGTTTAATTAATTCCTTTTTTTCCCTCTTTTTTGGACGATAAAAAAGGGTGCCGGGGAGGGTGAAGGAGGAGGGGGGATGGTCGTTGGACAGAAAAAAGACGGAAAAGCTCGAACAGCTCGAGTTTTCGACGGGGCAAATCTATTTCAACGCTTTCAGTGTTATAATAAAAGATACAAAGTTACCTTTTGTACGATGCTTCCGGTTCAACCGTTCGGTTCACGTGCACGCACACGTCCCCATCGCTTCGACGATACTCTCTCTCTCTCTCTCTTTCTCTCTTTTTTTTCTCTCTCGTTCTCTCGTTCTTTCAATCTTCCTTTCTCTCGCACTCTTCCTCTCAGCACAGACGTTTCCGCGAGCCGATCGCTCTCATTCGTATGCGCAGTCCGAGAAACGTAGTCCTCGAAGATTACAGTCTCGAAGTTACGTGAACGTTGCGCAACTCTCGCTTTAAAATCGATTCGAACCGGCCGAGATCCGATGGCAAGTGTCGCCGAGACAATGCTGGACGCATTAGGTCGCCGACAAGACGCGACATAATAAATTCCGCGCGATTTTATCCGCCCCCTGTTCTCGATCGAACGAGCCGAGCCGTTAACTTCGTCGAAGAAGCACACCGTTCCTCGTTCAAAAATTCAGTTCCCGGTGTTCGAATCCTTTAAGCCCCTCCGGCTCCGGGTCGCTCGCGACCCGCGACGTCTCCGACAGCGACGCGAACGAATCACCTTTGAATTGACTTGGAACGACGAATTACCATGTTTCTGTTCGAACGCAGACGAATCGCGGAACCCTTTGATCGCGATTCGAATCTTCGGGTCCCGCAAGTGTTCTCACGGCGATCGATTCCGTCCAATTGACGTCGAGGATTTCGTACCAAAGAATTGACTCGTGTCAACGAACACAGATTCTCGATCGGATCGATGATCCTGCTCTCGCGCGTTCGCGTCCGATTTTCGTCGCGAACGATTTTAATTAGAATTTTCTGATGACGCGTTCTAGTCCGCTGGTGCTCGCAGAATACTTCGCAGGCCGCGAACGAAATCGTTTGAAGCTAGAGATGTTCGATTCCGATACGATTCGTGGCGAGATCGATGCTCTCGGTCGAAAAACCGATTTCTTGAATCGATTTTCTAATCACGGATTTTTCTGACAATCGATGCTTTTACTCGAGTATCGAGTATCGTAGAAACGATGTTCTTTTTATTGTTGTCTCTGTTATTTATTTATTTATTTATCATCGACAGAAAGACCACAACCAAAAATTCGAGAAATTCGCCGATATTTACGAAGATTTGCTGCGCGCAAATTCCGTTGCGATACTTTTATATTTCTTAGTTTGGTTTTGCATCGAAGGTACAAGTGTCTGCAGTCATCGTATCTGCGTCATTGCGTCATTGCCAAAACAGTCGAATCACAGTCAAAATTTGCTCTCCAATGTACCGCGAAATGTTCCAAATGTTCCAAAAAGATATAAATATATATAAATAAATGTTTCAAAAATTGTACAGCTTGTTTATGCAGTCGCGCAATATAATTTATCACTGAATTGCTATCACTTCAATTACAAGTTTGTCACAAAAGCTGTAAAGTTGTTCTTCGAATTAAATTAAAGATTCTTCTTAAATTAAAGATAACAATTTTGGATCGACCGGTTGGAAAATCGATCGATCCTTTTCGTCCACAATATATATATTTATATATTTAGGAGCATCGATTCTCGCGATTCTCGCATCTCTGCCCGCAAGCGAAGCGAACGATCCACGCTTCGATCGATAAAGGTGGCACAGGACGCGTACGTGCGTCATCGGACGCGAACGCGCTGGAGCGAGCCGGGTCCCCTCGCGATACAAGTCCGACCCGTTTCAGAATCGAACGGGGAATCTTTCTGCAGCGGCGTTTCCGTTCACGGACGCACGGGGGATGAGGGGCTCTCGTTAAAATCCTTTTAATTCAGTTCGCGACGGCGGCGACGGCAACTCGATTTACAAATATGTATCGCGAACAATGGCGGCGGTCCCTCCTCGAGTGCTCGCAGGAGAACGATGTTCTCGGCTATATGTATGCAGTTCGACGGCTGTGTTCTCGGCTAGAAACTAAATATCCTGGCCGCCTTAGTCGACGAAATTGAAGTGTCGCGAGATCGAACAGGTCGAGTGTAAATCCTGATATTGGTCGGGGGCCGGGGGTTTCCCGAAGTTCGCGTTTAAAGCGAGACTCGTTTATTGTCTACCGCCGTTTCGTGGAAGAAGAAGTGGTGTGTGTATGTGTGTGTATGTGTGTGTCGGGTTCACACGTCCCGTGGCCGGCCTAGTTTCCAAAAATCTCCCGTCGTTCCTCCCCCGTGTCGACGCCGCTCGACGTCCTCGTCGACGCCTCCCACGCCTTCCGGTCTATTGTTCCGAATTATTTCGCTCCGCCTTTTTATCCCGTCGGAGACGTTCCGCGATAAGAGATGGTGTCGAACGGAATACATACATATACATACATCGTCGCGATAGACGTGGCAGTTTCGATAGGGTCAGATTTTTCTCCTCCCACTTTGCGAAATTAAGACCCGTATGGCGTTGCGGTACGCGCCGGTTACCGTGGAACGATCGATAAATCGTTTTTATGTCTATCGAATGAAACGTGTTAGAATTCTTCGTTCTTTTATTTCATTTATTTTTGAGTCAAGAAAGAAAACCTTGATACAATCTTATTCGACAAATGTCAACTTAATTAGGGTAACCCGAGGGTAACTCTTTATATACGACGTACATACACATATGCACGACGTATTAAATTCTTTTATTCGGAAATAAACTCGATAAAAGAATGACAAAAATTTAACGCGTCTAATTCGTTACAATGCCATGTTAACCATGCCCGAGAACAAAGCGCGAAGAGTACAGGGGTGAAAGAAATCGTTGAGGATCATTGGGGTTGATGATGGAACTAAAGTTTGGATATACTTGTTGATTCGAGGTTTCAATTTTCCCGCAACGTTGTTATGTAAAAATTGTGTTGGAAAGCCAACGAGTTATGATTATATTATGCAATTTGTTCTTGGGGGATCATCGGTCTTCGCGTGCTTGTTTGAAGCGCAACGACGTTCGAAAGATCGCTAAGGAAGATGGACGTTGAGCGGTGCGACGAGTATACTCGTCGTCGGCCCGTTTAACAGGTTAAATAAGCTACGGTAATAGCGTCTCGAGGAGACGCGCGAGGTATCTCGCGCGATAATACAATACGCCTACGACACGTGCGCGCGCGTTATATACTCATCTCGCGGAATGTAAATACTCTCTCTCTTTCTCTCTCCCTCTCTCTCTCGTTCTCTTTCTCTCTCGTTTTCTCTCGTTATCTCTTACGCTCTCGCACTCTCGCTGCTCCGTTCCCGTACGTGGGAAGAATGGACAATGAACGTCGATCACTCGGAACAAGCTAATTAGATTTGCGCGAGCGAATAACCGGCGTTGTTCCCCGACAGAAACAATTCCTGGCACGAGTCCGGCGGGGGTTGCGTCCTCGGGCCACGCCGGAAAACCTCGAATACGCTCCTCGTCATTAGCCGTAATCGAATCGAGTCCTCTGATACTGTCGCTCTAATCTTGTCAATTAGCCCGGGGCGCGACCGGTCAATGAACGCGGGGCAGAATCGTTTCCGGCGCGATCTCGACGATCTCGTCGAACGTCTTTCCCGGATCCACGGAATTGGATTTCACCGACGAGCGAGACGATCCGCGTTCTTTTGTTCCGGCCGCGGGAACTTTTCGGCGTCGGCAAGTTTTTCGGGACGGGCGAAACCAAGTTGAATTTATTTCGATCGTCCTTCGAACGATGGCGGAGAAGAGACTGCTTCCTTCCCCTTCGACGGTGATTTTAATCCGCCATTAAACCGGTCTTTTTAATCGGTCTGAAAATCGACGGTTTTCGAACGCGCCCGACGCGAAACGCGAGCGCAAATTGCGAGAAATCCTTCGCCGTCTCGCGAGCTCTCGGGGGTGCCTTCGAATTTATTTGAACGCGAACTCTGCGTCCTCGAGCGAATAAAGAATTACCGTTCCCTTTATAAATTTTAATGAGCTCGGATACAAACTGTAGAATCCTTTTACCGTTCCGCGGACCCGAAACTTCGGGGAAACGACGGGAAACGACGCATTTGTTAACTGCGAGCTCCCGGCGACCGCCGTTTCAGCTGCGATCGTCGCAACCGGATGCCGGCTCCTTCGCGTTCCCGGGGCTCCCGATATCCTCGGGATCGGTGCAACGATTCGCGAAACAGCGCGGACGACTTTCCGAACTCGGAAACCGTTTCGTTTCCAACTGTCGCCGATAAATCGTCGCGCGCCGAGTCTCTGCGACGAGTCGTCGGTGTTCCGGTACCGTTCTCAAAACGCGGTCTCGTGCCGACAATACCTATACACCGTGTAGGTTCTGAGTCGCGCGTGTCTCTGTGTACATGTATCTCTCTCTCTCTTTGTGTCTGTATGTGTGTGTACGTGTTCATATATAATTCACGAAGTAAACGTTAACAGTAACAATAACGACAACAGTGATCGCGATACGAGTGATCCCGACGTACCGGTATACATATAATGAGCGAACGAAAACGCCGGCGACGACCATGAACAGGGTCAGAGGGCATCGTCGTCGCTGTCGCCGCCGTTACAGACAATAGGCAACGCAGGCTTTCATCCTCCGATACAACATACAAAGTTCACCACCGATTACACACACCTGTCGGCGACGGTCTACCACCGTGGACGCCGCAGTCAAACACGATTTCTAAGCGTATCTAGGTTTTTTTTCTCTCCGCGCGTACTATTTATAGTCTTTTGTCACGCTCCCCGGCGATGCTCCGTCCCGCTGATCTCTGTTAACCGAACGACGGAGGTACGGCGGGCTTGGCGAGTGTTTTTGCTTCTTCGGGAATGGCAAACGGAAACTTCGCTGCCGCTTGATCGGCTTTCGATGCTTCAGCGAAAGGATCGACAGCGGCTGCGCGATTAGTTTCGTTGGAATTTGACGCGTCGTTGAGGCTAATTTGCGTTGGGAAGGAGCGAGTAAGATGGCATTCTCGAACGGAAGAGGGAAGGACATAGTTACATGTTCTTTTGGAAAACGATCTGCTGTGGTCGGCGATCGAACGCGAATACGGTGAATTTTTCCCGATCGACGCTTAGATTGTGCACAAAAATGGGCAATTTGGAAAGAGGAGATACGAGGGCGTCCCGAAATTATGATACTTCCGGGAAATGAGGGATTCCTGGGGTCATCTCGAGTAACTTTTTCCTCAGCGAAAACGCGATCAGCGGCTTCGTTCGCGAGTTATTAACGAAAAACACTGACCAATCCGAGAGCGAGTGCGGCCGACGCTCCGTCCCTGTGGCCAATGCCGCGTCGCGCAGCTGATAGGGGCGGGCCGCCGAATTGAACGCTCCGCCCTAGATCAGACAGTTTGCAAATCAATTGAGATCGCTGCTCTTCCGAACGAATTTTATGCAAATCGATCCCTCAATTTTTCGGCCTAATTAAAATTACGCGAAATATAATTCCGATTTCAAAGAAATTATCGCTGCCATTACGAGCAATAGCAAAATTAAAAAAATATTATGTTTCAAACGCTGTAGAGCGAACCAGTTCTTTTAATATTTAAAAAAGAATTCGAATCATTTGGTCCGGCTTTAAGAGAGTTATTGCGTTTTAACCCTTTCACAGGCCCTGGAAACTAAGCTTCCCACCCCCTTTTAGCGCGTACACGGACACTGGGCTCAATTATTCCTACCGTTGAAATGTACTGACACCTTGAAAATTCGTATTGTGCCCATGAAAGGGTTAAAAGGTGTTCGAATACTTCTTCGCAACAATCGTACGAACAGTAGCCGAAATTAGGCGATCCTCTTCCGGAGTTCGACCCCCGCGAAAAAGAAGAGCCCGCTGTACCTCCAGCGCCGGCAGTAAATAACCTAAGCTTACCCAGATCCGTGGAGGATTCACGAGGCATCGGACATCACGCGAGGAGCTTTGTCGCGATTCTTTGTAACCGCTCCCTTATCGGGCCGGGCCGTCCATTCTCCTCGGCCCTGCTGCTCCCGATTCGCGCTACGTTTCTCTGACGAACATGGCCAGACAGCGGCGCGCGGGGGTCGGTCTCGGGGGGTAGGGGAGAGCTGTCCTTCCCCTTTTTATTAGCACACATTCGCACTATTCACTACCGCGACCCTTCCGGCCGGTCTTATCGGCTGGCCGGTTGCCAGAGGGTGCAACCGGAGGTCAGGGTTCTCTGAAAATCTGAATTACGACGGGCCGCCTCTGCCTACCCCCTTCTCTCCCCCTCGCTCTATCTCTTTCTCTGTTTCCCTCTTTTGCGCGCGCTCCCTCTCTCTATCTCTCTCTCTCTCTCCCTCGCTCTCTTGCTCTCTTGCTCTCTACAGCTCGGCCACTTGCTCGTTAGTAGTTTTGCCCGATGTGTTCGACGTCAAGCTGATCTCCGTCACGCCGACCGACGTCTGCACCGCCGCCGTCAGGGCGCTCTGCAACGGCATGCTCTCGCTGGTCAGCTCGCAGCCCGTGTCTGAAAACAAACCGAGGTCCGAGGTAACGCAGACGATCATTCTCGATGACACGTTGTTGCCAGATATTTTCGTGGCCCCGCGATTAACACGCGGATTTTCCGCGCCCAGAAACCCGGCCAGCGCGGATTTAACCTACGAGCGGTGACGCGCGTCCAATTGACTCCCAACACCAGTGTGCCGATATACGTCGGATTCACTGCTAACCCTTGCGGTGATGCACGTCGGATTATATCTCGGTACGTTAGACGGTGAATCGACCCCGACGATTGTTGATAACATCGTTTTACGTTGTTGATGCTCTGTCGAAAGGAAAACTTCAAAAATAGCATCGCGTTTGTGCGTTTCTATTTTCTATTTCGAAATATTTTGAAGCTTCCTATTTAGAAATATATAACATAGTTTAATATATATTAAAATATATAAGATTTATGTTATATACGTATTAAAACATATATAATATATATTGTATATATTATTTATTTATATATTATATTATTTTATTATTTTTATATGTTATTATAGTATATTATATATAATATATATTAAATATACAATTTAAAAATTTACTGTACGGTGTTTTGTTAAGTCTTCGTTCAAATATCGCTAGAAAACTGTAAAAGTTACTTCGAGGCGTCGCTGAAGAGGCAGTTTCTTTAGATCGGGTAAAGAACGAGTGAATTTAACCTTAATATTGGCAAATATTGGCAATATTTCTTTAAACATTTTTATACGTGCAACCTTGAAATTAAACAGAACGCGTTTGCAACTTATGGAAATCTCTTACACGAATACGGAAGGATTACAACAATTTCTCCCGGAATTGCCAAATTCCCGGTTGCTGTGAATTTCCCAGTGCTACATCTGCGCCTATGCAATTTATTGCTACAAGAACGAGCGAATTTAGCCTTAACTTTTATTGGCAATATTTCTTTAGACATTTTTATACGTGCAACCTTGAAATTAAACAGAACGCGTTTGCAACTTATGGAAATCTTACACGAATACAAAATACTCGAATAGAATAGAATAGAATAGATAATAGATAGATGAACGAATAAGAATAGATAAACGAATAGAATATATAATAATCTCTTACACGATTACAGCAATTTCTCCCAGAATTGCCAAATTCCCGGTTGCTGTGAATTTCCCTGTGCTACTCCTGCGCTTATGCAATTTATTGCTACGTCGATGCCAGGAATCGACGGAAAACGATACAATATGGTCTGTTTCTCTAAGAAATTACTGTAGTTTCCGTTGTTACGACGTTATAAACGCCAGCGTCGGATACACGACAGGAAATCTCGCCTTTAGGAGGACCGATCGGGACGAAAACGAAACGAGGTGGTCCACGCATAATAAATGACTGCCGCAGGATATATGCGGCACCGTCTCGGAGGGGTGCGCGGAATCTGAAAATCTAAAATAGAAACGATATCGATTCGGACGCGGACCGAGTTCGGGATAGAATTTGTTCTGCTCGTGCAGATCGGGACTTGCGGGACGGTCGAAAGGTGAGGAATTAGGGTAACGACGGGAAAATTGGCGGAACGTTTCCCAGCGATTGGCGGAGCCCACGGGAAACGATTATTCCGCGATAGGCGCGACGGAAGAGCGGAACGCCGGCATTCGGAAAGGCGGCTTAAAGTTTCCCGTGCGGCACGATTGCAGCGCGCGGAAATGAAAATTCCCACTGTTAGTTCGGAACTTGACTCGAACTTCGGAAGAGCAAACACGGTTACCGAGCATCGACGTAGCGCAAAACTGTACAACTTCTCGGACGATCGTCGAAAGTTTTCGCCGTTTTAATTGTAACCGATACACCCTCGCCCCCACCCACCCCTCGCGATCCTCGAGGAACAGAGAAAAAACGCTCCGTGATAAACGCGATTTGCGGGGAAAATTCCTTTGTTTTTAGCAGTCTACGTTCGACGATTCGCGCGACCCGATTCGAAATCGAGAAATTCGAAAATTATTATCGGATGGGGGAACGAATTTCGCGCGTTTATGGCAACGAAGCGTCCGATCGAGGTACGAAACAGCGAAAACATTAAGAGACATTGAAAACGCTGCTGCTGCTGCTGCTCGATTTTTTAGCTCGTTAAAATGATTGAAAAAAACGAGATCGACGCAGCTTCCGCAATTAGCGCGGACGCGATTTTTCTTTCGTAGAAAAATCTACGCTCTGGTAATTACTTCCCGAGCACAACCCTTGTACAAATTATTCCGTCGGAGGCGATCCCAATTTGCCGAGCTTATTAAATTCATTCATCGGAATAAATAGTCTCATTACGATCGCGGGAGTAAGATCGAATAATCGCTGGGCCGAAATTATAAAAAATCTCTCGATGGGAAATTTCACGGGCGAGATTAACCCTCAAGGATTTTCGCGGGATAGACGTTCGGGTAAATAAATAAAATATGTAATGAATATTATATTATATTATATTTTATTCTGTTCGACGATGTATGTATCGTTTATTTGGATAGCGGTTAATTTTCTTTTGGTTATAAATAAAAAGGTTACGCTAAATTAGTGACAAACTATGATGACATCTCGTTTCTTAATTTTTAAAAATCGCTTTCAGAATAAACGGTCCATAATTAGCCTTTCATAGCCCAAAAAACAATCGTTTCTAATAATATAAACCCCGCGCAGACACCTGCGGTTCTCGAATCGGGTAGAAAACTACCCCGCGGAGCCACTTGCGCGAGTCTGAACCCCGATAGGCCTCGAGACTTGAAACAAAACACGCGTCGAATATTTGTCTCCGGAAGCAGCTTTTCCCAAATTATCATCGCGCGTCGCGTCGATACGCTCCCCAATGGTCGCGATGAACCGCGAGCCGCGTAAGAGTAATTCTCCGAGGAATCTGGCACAAGTAGCAGTCAATCTGTCTAGGAGAGCTAATCCATTTCGCGTCGATAAAACGACGGCTCGTAAATTTTTTTGCCAGCGCGAGCGCGCCGCGTGTACAATGGCCGAGGCTAAACAACAAGGGAACAAGTGTTTCTCGCGTTCCCGGCCGCAAATAGGAATTAATCTATCCAGAAGCTAACCCATTTCTACCCCATAAAAACGTCAATTGGCGCGGCACAATGGCGCGGGCCGGACAATGCGCGGACAAACATCGAAATAGGAGACACGGAATAATACGTGACCGGCGGACAAAGTGTTCGAGCATTTATTGAAAATAAATCAGTGTGTGCCTGGAGGCGTAGGAGGCAGGGGCGGGAGGAGAGGGGCGAGTCGGAGGTATAAACGCCGCGAGAATACCATACCATGGTCCCGATGCCTGCGGGATCATTGGGAAATAAAAGTTTCCCAGGTTCGAGAGCCCCGTCAATAATGCTACAGCCCATAATTCCTCCAATTTCCCCGCCCTCCCTCCCCCCGCCGTTCGGCCACCCAGCAGCACACCCTCCCCCCGTCCGCGCTCTGTATCTTCAACCGGCGCTCGCGAGGAATTCGCGGAAATATGCAACACAGATAACTTCACAGAGGACGCTCCCAATATGCGGATGCCAGATATTACGTGATATGAAATTTTCAGGGGACTTAACAGGGGACGGTTTAAAAACGCTCCGGCCCCGATCGATCGCGCCGCGACGCCCCGTCGTCTAGCCGGGCGAATCGCGATCCCGCCAGGACACTCTCAAGGATAACGGACTCTGCCCGAGAGAACGTTTATTCTCCTCGAAAACATCTTCTCCTTGCTTCTCTTATACAGCGGCGGTGCCGGTCGTTTAAGGTTTCGCAAAGACGAACCACTTATTCGCCGCGACGCGATGCTTTTCGAAGCTTGTCCTTCGAATCGGTGTCGCCGGGAAAACGGACAAAAATCTGCAGGCTCGACTCGTCGATTTACAATGGCCCACGAAAGTGCACGAAAGTGTTCGCACACTTTTCAACTTTTCGAGACACGATGGGATTAAAAATGTCCCATATTTTTAACGCACGGCGGTAACGCGTGTCGGGACATTTTCAGACCCGAAATATTGCAGTAGCTGCAGAAGGACAGAGCCTAATCGAACGGAGCGAACGAACGTTTGCCGGACAGACGACCCCATCAAGAGGGTCGAATTGTTACGTACCTGCGCGCGGAGAGGGATCGACGGACTTTCGAAATTTCACGGACGATTGGGCGAGGAAGAAGGCGCGCTCTCTCCCCGTTTTAACGCGAAGCCACCCTCGGGAGAAAGAGAGAGAGAGGGCTGAATATTTTCCGGCGATAATACTTAATGCGAATTCGATTGTTGGCAGACGCATCAGCCCCGTCCGATTTCCGTATGGAAATCGACCGTCGTCGCCCTCTCCCCGGTTACCAATGTCTATTGTAATTACGGGGCTAGTTACACAGCCGGCTGGCGTGCAATCACCGGGGATTACGGCCCCGGGAACGATAATGCCTGGAATTGTTCTTGCCTGCGACGAATTATTAAGTTAATTCTTGGCCTGCTCCTCTCCGGCACGATCTATCGAGCACCCTCCACTGACGTTTATCGGCACCCGCGTTCCTCGGCGACGAACGCGAAAAGTCTTCGCGTGGACGCGCGTCGCGAGAATCTGGGAACTTGATTTTCGGTATCGTTCAGCACTAAATTCACGGAACTCGTCAAAATGGCTAATTTTTTCACTTGCGATTATTCGTATCGTGAAGATACATTTCTATGAGTTAATGTTGCAATAACGTTTGTTCAAAATCAGAATAAATGTCTTATTTTATAAACCGATATAAAACAGCTGCTTTCGATGTGCTCCGTAACTTTAATGTTAACCGATTGCGCTGCAAAGTATGCGAAACGAGTCGAGTCGCGGTACGAGATTAAGTTAATAACACCTGCGTCTGCGGTTTTCAGAATGAAACGAATCAAATAAACGCATAATTGGCTGTACGGTATAGCAATTAAAACGGAAACTCAAATTCGTCGTCTCGCGTTTCAACGACCGCCACTGTAATTCGCCGGTGTCGTTGATCGCGACCGGCTCCTAATTAATATCGATTACCTCCTGACTCTAGATCGATATTAGGCAGTCGCAAAAGTAATCGCGGCTTTCGGATCGCGCAGAAATCGATTTAACAAGATTTTTGGGCCTCTCGAGTCATCGGTCGTGGAATCGTATCGAACAGAAATTAGATAAAAATGTATTTCTCTTCTTTCAACGACGTTGATACAGTGAAAGTGACGCTGCGGTACTTCAAAATAAAGTAACGTCTCTCCAATCGACGCTCAGATTGTCCACAAAAATGGACAATTTTGAAAGAGGAGATACGATTGTTCGAGCCCCGTGGCTCTTTCGTTATGGTTATCGATTATCAACAACCATAAAAACGAGCTGCAAGGGGCACGAATAATCGTTAGAGATAGAATCTTGGCTCGTCCTCGGTTAAATTGGTCCGAGGACCGGGACTGGACCGATTTAGCACCCCGTGACAAACACCCTCTGATCCCGACGTCGGTCTCCAAGGAAGTCGGCGGCTTGCTCTTGACCAGATTGACTCGGAGACGCCGCGAGAGGAGCGCGGAGACTGATTTATACAACTTTCAAAAACTGTGGCGCTCGATGAAGCGCCGCGCGCGCGTTCAAGCGGCCGGAAAGTTTTGTTTTCCCGTTGTTCCGCCGCTAATGACGTACAAATCGGCCGACCCCGGTGTGCCGCGCCGCGCCGCATCGGTCCGGCCACAAAAGAAAGGGCAACGCGGGGGCGGACGGGCGCGGAAAAGTGGGACCGCGAGATACAAGGCGTTGGCAGCGAGCCGAGTTCACCGGGCGTGTTTCGCTGCCGGGTAATTTGCGATCGAGTCAGCGTATTCCCGGCATTATTAGGCTCGATCGTGACGAGCTGATTCGAGCCCGCATTCGACGAGCCCTCGGGGCACCTAGGATAATCCACTATCGCGCGGCGACACCCGAAAATACAGTAGCGCGACAAAAGATTAAGACGAGGCGAACGAAAGAAAGGAATTCGTGAAATCCGCTGCGATTGAACATCTCTTCTGTGGTACGACGTATCGCGTCTCGCGCATATTCCAAGGCCTAATTCTTCGATCTCCGGTACACCGAAATTCTCCCTAATTTTTCTTTCAGTCTGTTGACGAAAACGGAGAATTTGGGAGGTGGAGATGCGATTATTCGAGCCTCCACGATCGAGAAACAGCGATCTTCGTCGCGAATTTCTCTTATTCTCGTATGTTATTCAGCTCGTATTCTTTAGACGCTCGTTCGGGGTTGCGGTGTTTTTTTTAATCTAATTCCATATTTAACCGCGTCGCGACGAAAGTAGGCGGACGAATGAAACGCGGAACGATGAAGATAAAAGTACAGCAATGCCTCCCTAGTCGACGCTCGGATATTGTGCACAAAAGTGGACAATTTGGGACGAGAAGATACGATTGTTCGAGCCTCGCAACTCGTTTTTACAGTTACCGATTTTCGACAGTTATAAAAACGAGCCGCAAGACTCGAACAATCGTATTTCCTCTTCCCAAATTGTCCATTTTAGTGGACAATCCGAGCGTCAATTAGGGAGACATTACTGTAGATCGAACAACCTTAACGGTAGCGTAATAATTGGGAGCTATTTCAAGGCGGCGGGGACAAAAGCGCGCGGAGGGATCCCGAATTCTCGTGCCCAACCCCGTCGCTTGTTATTTGTTTAGCCGTCCCGTTGCCCCCTCGTTCCCCGATGTCATTAAAATGCGCCCGTTCCCCGCGAGACAAAAGCTCGAGGCTCGGGCACTCGATACTAATAGCCTTCATTTCTTATTCTCCCGTTCGTTATTTCTCCACCGAAACCGATCGGAGCCTCCGACGAAACAATGTCGTCTCGTCCTGTCTCCGGACTCGTTTGAAGCCGGCTCGATTCCGCGGGTCTCGAGACGCGCTGCCACTGGCTTTTGGCTCTTGCCGAGCGGCAAAGCCGCGCGGCATGGCCAAGCCGGTGGCGCCTTTACCGGAGCTGGAAACGATATACAGGGTGTCCCAAACGACTTCAGGCACCCGTAATATCTGGTCGAATAATTTTGGGAGCACAAGGAGCTAATTTACGCACCCTTGGGAGCGCGAGGAGCCTGAATTCGCGACAATCGTCGTCGGCTACTCACACTTGGTAATGGATGAGGTGCCCGCGCTGCTGCCCGGCTTCTTGAACTTGTCACCCATGGTCACCTTCCGCCGGATATTCTTGTCCGGCTGGAACAGGATGATGTAGACCTTCGGGGAGTACAAACAGACCAAGGTCACCGAGGCGCTCAGACTGATCGCCACGCAGAGGGTGGTGATCTGCGTCTCGTGGGCGTTCCCGGTGCCGAAGTAGATCGGCACGAACGCCAGCCAGATGATGCACGTGGTGTACATGGTGAACCCGATGAACTTGCTCTCGTTGAAGTTCTCCGGGATCTTGCGCGTTTTCACCGCGTAGATCGTCGAGACCACGATCAGCAGGGCGTTGTACAGCTGCGAGAACAGGAAGCTCATGTCCTGGATGTTGCACTTGAGTATCACCTGTCTGCGCGTCGGGTACGAGTACCTGGTGCCCGGCGGCTGGACGATCATCCAGACCAACGTCAACACCAACTGCAACAGTTTCGAACGGACCGGTCCAGATATCGTGTCTGAATCAGCCTGAATACGCGGTTCAATCTAGAACTGCGATGGCGAACCTTTTTGAGAAGTGGGTCGAATTTTTAGTTCATTATTTTATTTTTTTTTTAGTACTAGCTCGTGGGTCGCCGAGTCAGTGGTGTCGTTTGGAAAGGGGGAGGGGAGAGTGGTTGAAAACTACTTTTCTTGGTATTCGCTTTAAAAATGCTCTACAAAGTTTATTTATTTATTTGTTCCTTTTTGTTTTGCAACTTTTACCTTTGCGAGTGAAGAGCAAAGAGTAAAGTTCGATGGCAAAAAATTGATATAAATGGGGTGATGGCATGAATCACTGCACCAGGTGACACCACGACCTGTCAGCCCTGCGCTGAGTATTTGAATGAACAATTATGTATAGATAGATTCATATTACAGATTAATGTTACAGATGATATAATTAGGTTAATATTATATGATTAGATTAATGTTATAGACGAACATTAGATATTTTATTTTTTTAATATTTTGGTTGCCTGTTCCCTCTGTTCTGATATAAAAAATAAATTTATAAAGATCAACGCGTGGGTCAGTGTGTGACCCGCGGGTCATAGGTTCGCCATCGCTGATCCAGACCCTCCTATCGATTCTCAATGGTTGGTTGCCTGAACCGGCCGCGCCCAGTCGTTCCTTCAGGGACTTCTCTCGAGTAAATTCTCCCTAATTAACGCTCATCCCGTGCCTTGACAATCGATTAAAATTGAAACAGCTAGAATAACCTTGCGACCCGTTTTCATAGTTACCAATCGTCAATCTCCTCTTCCCAAATTATCCATTATCGTTTCCAAGCCGAGCAGCGTCGATCAGGAAGAATTTACTAATCACTTTGCACTTTGATTCTGAACACCCCCCGCCGACCCAGAACCCCTCCCTTAATCTTTAGACCCCGGCGAACCGAGCCGGTCGCGTCTTCGGCTCACCTGCAAAGCGATCAGCGCCGCGGCGATGCACACCTGGGAGGTGGGACTGATGTACCTGGGCCTGACCGCGGACCTCGAGGCGGAGTCGAAGATCCTCGCGATCCTATTGGTCTTGGTGAGCAACGCCCCGTAGACGGCGCTGAAGCTGACGCCCACCCCGAACCTTTGTAGGATACAGGTGACCGTGGTAGGGGTCACCAGCAACAGGAACGTGTTCAGATAGCAGACGAGGACTCCGGCCAGCATGATGATGGTCAGCTCGCGGCCGGACGCCTTCACGAGGGGCGTGTCGCGGTGATGGAACAGAACGCAGGCGACCGCCAAGGTCATCGTGATACCTAAGCTCGAGATCACCGCGGGAACGATCGCGAACGCGCTGTTCCACCTGATGTGGTTGATCGGCAGCTCGTAGCAGCCCCTCTTGTCGTCGTGGGGCCACTTCCCCGGGCCGCAGTCCTTGCAGGTGTGCTCGTCGTAGACGTACTCGTACTCCTCGCACTGGTCGCACACCCAGCAACAAGTGTCACCCTGTTGCTTCTTTATCATACCTGGCTCGCAGGGCAACGAGCACGCGGATATCGGTATGTCTTTCGTGCCCCTGGCCCACACCAGCTCCTCCGTGCTCATGTTCAGCGAGTTGAACCATTTGCCCACCACCTGACAACATTCCCAAGGTCATCACGTCGACCCACAACCCGGCGCACCGCGTCGGAAAGCTCTCGCGAGTCCCGAATATTCTGCGAGCTGGCAGCCAACGGGCGGAGCGAATCGACGATAAGCGGAGCAACCGAGCTGTGCGTGGGCGGTGCTGACGAAGAACGATTGGTGCGAATGAGCGATAGGCGGAGTTTTTGAACGATGGGCGGGGCCGAGCGAAGAACGTGCTAGGCGAATAAATAAGGGGCGAAGCGAGCAGGCAAGACGGAACAATTAAATCGACGGAGCAAGTGGGCGGGGTTAAATGAATAGTGGGCGGGACGTGCGAGCGGTGGGTGGGGCGAGCAAACAAAGGGCGTGTAGAAAAGCGATGGGCGGTGTTTGTGGGCAACCGTTTCCCGAGAAAACCAGCCACACAGCCCGGAAAATCCATCTTCGACGGTGCGGTGGGCACTAATGTCGCGGAAAGAGTGTTCGAGGTGTTTCGAGTCTCGCCGTATCGGTCTCCGAAAAAATGCATCGATGCACCGGCGTCGTCGAGCCGGCGCGTCTAGCCGTGATTTTCGCGGCGGGCTATCGATCGAAATGGTAATTCTAGTCCAATTCCGATCCGTTAGCTATCGAGAGAGAGAGAGAGAGGGAGAGAGAGAGAGAGAGAGGACTCGTTGAAACTCGCTACAAAACTGTGACTTCAGGTGGCACTCGATGTCAGCGACACGTTCCACACGCCGCGCGTCCCCGCCGGGGATTGTTTTTCGATGCGAGCGCTTTTCGAGGCTGGAGAGGCTTCTCGTCGAGGGCGAGAAAATCGGATCGTTCGCTCGATTTCGAGGGCACTTCTAATTTGTCAATTTTCTTTTTGCTTCTTTATTCGCACGGAGGCGCCGCGCGCGCGTCGCCCGATCAGAGAAATTCGAAACGCTCACCGCGGATCGGCAGCCGACGAGAACGTTCGCGGATGTCGTTCGAATCGCGCGATCCGTTTTCCATCGACCGATTAGCGTTCCATTAATCGCCGAGTGTATCTAAGCTTCGAATGAAGCTTGTTTTCTGATAGCGCGCCGATTGAAACGCGAGCGAGGCAACGGGCGGAGAGGAAAAAGGAACGACCCGTCGCTATCCGCGGATGAGGGATGGTGCGGGGTTGGGCCGACGGTCCCTTCCTCTCCACGTTTCCCAGCCTTTTTATTTTATTAACGGCCGGGCGCAGCGGGCGCAATAAAACCGGCGCTTTTTGACGATTTAAAGTTACCTGTTCCGGCAAGTGAAACGTCGTATATCATCCGGCAAGTTGCGCTCCAGGGTGTTGCGGGTGGCCGCTGCGACGAAGGTCACGTTGCAATTTATGTCCGCGCCGCGCGCCGGGGCTACTTTATCGTTGGGAAACGCGAGCGCCGCCGCGCCCCTGCGCCGCCCATTGATTTACGATTTTTATCGAAAAACAATCGTTAACCGGGTCCCCGGCCGGCCGTTTCGCCGTGAAACGCAATCCCGAAACGGCCCCGCGCGGTCTCCCCAGTTCGAAAATCTCGTGCCGGCGACGATCCAAAGGGCCGGCCGCAAATTGAATCGGACCGCGCCCCGGCGTTCGACGGCGTTTCCACGTTGGAAATAAAGTATCAAGCGTTTCTTTGAGCCGGCCACGGCCGCGGGGACGCACGATTACCGGGGACAAAGGGAAAAGGATTTTCAGTAGCACGCGGCGCGGAAAATTAACCGCGCGGATCCATCGGATCGGGAGAGACGCGGGAGGCAACACCCGGTCGCCGCTCGGAACGGAACGTTAAACAAATTAAAGCGATTCAAATTAAAGCACGGCGGAAGGTGTGCTTAATCGAATCCCGTCGACCGTCGTGCCCGCGTTGCGCCGGGCGCTTCGATCCTGCGGAATTCCGACGCGGGTGCACGGAAGAAACGGCGAACCGCGCGAACGGAGACACGGTAATGTCTCTCGAATTGACGCACAGGTTGTCCACGAAAATGGACGATTTGGGAAGAGGAGATACGATTGTTCGAGCCTTGCGATGATCGTTTTTATAGTTACGAATTATTAATAACCATAAAAACGAGCTACAAGACACGAATAATCGTATCTCCTCTTCTCAAATTGTCCAATTTCTGTGAAAAATCTGAGCGTCAATTAGAGAGACATTACTGTACTCGATGTCACAGTTTAGATCGTAATTATTATTAATATATTATTATATTATTATTATTATTATTATTATTATTATATTATTAATATATTAATATATAATTATTATTAATTATTATTATATAATGTGCCGAAAACCGCGCGGCGATCGACCGTTCCGTTTCGCCGAGTCAACGCGACTGGGACGCTCCTACCAATATTCTCCCGATTTATATCTATTTTTAGAGTACGTGAAACAATTAATAAGACGATCTTAGCGTCAGTTAGGGAGACATTACTATAAGTCGCGCGCGACCGAGACGACACTGTCGCAGATAACAGCGAGCAGGATGTTTGATACGAGATATCCAGGCACGGATGTTCCAGAATGACGCACACGTGTCTCTCGTTTTCGCATCGAGATTCGACCGGAGGGACGGAAAAATAATTTGTATTTTCGGAACGACCGAATGATCGGCGCCGCGCGCCCCCCGATCTCCCGGGGGTAATTATCTCTGGCCCGTCGAAACTCGTCATGAACCCAATAATGGAAACTTCGCAGCCGATATTATTCCGAGCCGCGCGGCCGTTAAAACTGCTGAAAAAGCGGTCTCTCTTTCTCTCTCTTTCTCTCCCGGTGGCGAAAGTTTTCTCGCGGCCCGCCGTGAAAAGAGACCGGCCGCGACGCGACCGCCGGCCCTTCTAATTAACCGGCGGAGAGAAAGCCCCGAAAGTAAGTACTTTCACTTGCCCGATAGTGGTATCCGTTGGACCCGTTGTGGTCCGATTTCCGGAAGTTGAGGATCTCGTAACGCGGCAGCCCGTCCCCGTGCTCGTCGAACTTCACCTCGCTGCCGGCGCGATCTGAAAAATCAATTTACACCTCTCTTGTTTCCTCGTTCGCCTCGTTAGCAACGCCTTGGACTATCGATCGTCCGTCCAGCCCGTTCGTTACGAATTCGACAATAATGTTTGCTGCATGCGAGAACGCGAAACGGGACAAGCTATCGCGACGATATTCAACTTTGTGGGAGGAGCCGGGGACCGGGGGCGTGGCCCAGGGAGATCCAGCAATGAGAATTGGCGCAAGAGATCGACGTTGATCGATCCTGTCGTCCTTGCTGCACGGAACTTTGTATTTAAGAAACGAACATTGCGGACGGAGTTACGGAAATTCGATGGGAGGAGCTGAGGATACTTGGTGGGAGGAGTCGACGGAACTTGATTGGGAGGGTCTGACTTTCTTTAAATCAGTGGACCGAGGTAGAAGAAACTGTACGGGTTCCTGGAAAGGATTTGAACTTCTTGGGAGGAGTCTGATTCGTTTCTTCGAGCCAATAGCTATCGAGGGGCGGGGTTGGAAGAGCCTTCTGGGCGGAGCCAACCGTTCACGTTTATAGATTTAACCCTTTGCAGTCGAGTGGTGACTTTAAGGTGCGATTAAAAATTGTTCTATCGCGTTTCAAAATAAATAATTTTATATATACAGAGGGTATTCCATAATTATGTTAACAGAAGGCAATGGAGGGTACCTCGGGCCATTTGGAACAACTTTTTCCTTTACAAAAATGTTCTCCGAGGCATCGTTCACGAGTTATCGACGAAAAACACTGACCAACGAGAGGCGAGATTAGCTGGCGCAAAGGGGCCGAGCCAACGAGCGACCGACGCCCAGTTCCGCCGATTGGCTCGGTAGCCTGGCGCTAGGCGAGCTCGCCTCCCATTGGTCAGTGGTCTTTCGTCAATAACTCGTAAACCATGCCTCGGAGAAAATTTTTGTAAAGGAAAAAGCTGCTTCAAATGACCTCAGGAATCATCCCTTTCCGACTGTTAACATAATTACGGAACACCCTGTATATATATATATATTATTAGAATGCGCTAAATTATACAAAATGGAAATACTGTACGTCAGAAGAAACTATTTTAGACTCCGCGTTAAATGTCAAGGTTAATGCAAAAGGGGTTAAGGTTCAGGGTGTTGTAGACTTTTCAATGCATTTTCCTACCCAAACGAAAGTACCGGCGACCTGATAACGATACACCCGATTAATTGTCATTGTACCCGATTGTTTGAAACCAACGGTCCGCAGTGTCCTTGCCCATTCGAACATCCGGCCGGTCTTTATTGTAATAATGTTTCGCGCCGCTTTGGAATCCGGCGTTCTCGACGGTCGCGCCACGGTCGCATTCAATTACGGTGTTCGGGCGGCGCATTGTTCGCCGCGGCGAGCCTTTAAAAAAGCGTTTCGTTAAATTTACACGGCGGATTTATGCGCGCAGCCGGGCTTTCGTTTGCTTATCGCTCGGCCGGCCGGCTCGATTTTAATATATCCGCGTAGAGGCGAGGCCGAGCGCGATCCCCGACAATATAGCTTTTAATTATCGCTCTTCCGGCCCGCGTAATTGACACGCGATTGTGTTCCCGGAGGGGGGGGGGCGGGTTTCGCGGCCGACCGGTACCCGGTTCGCGAAACAATTCGACCGGCTGCGAAAATTATAAGCCCGGTTTGTTTTTAATACGATACGGCGCACGGACCCGCGCAATATCCACGGATCAACGGGATCCACGAAACCGTTCCCCGATCACTCTCGATTTACCCGGCCCGGAGAACTCGCCCCCGTTTTTTCTCGCTTATTCTTTCTCGCCCGGGGAGATCGCCGGCCTCTGTACTTTATTCATTTTGTTTTCGGGCTTTTTCGTCGGCTTTTTGTTTCCCGTCCGTCGCAGTTTCCAGCTCGACGTCGAGCGATACGGCTCGCCGCTTTTTTTCCTTTTCCCCCTCTTCCGTTTTTATTTTTATTTCGCAGGCTTATCTGCCGTGATTTACTTGGACGGCAATGTCGAAAGGACGTTTATCGCGTTAGCCGATACGATCCGGGCGTTCCTTTCGAGCGTTCCGACCGGTGACGGTGTAGCAGCGACCGTTTCTTTTTTCGTTTTTTTTTCCTCTCTTTTTTTTTGTCGCTGCGAAAGATCGCGCGACGATACCGTAAATCCACGGGAGGAGACAGAAACGTGTCGAATAGGAATCGTAAAAATTTCATCGTCGTTCGACGCGCGTCGACGCGCAGAGCGATTTTTCATCGAGTCGACGACGGAGCTCGAACGGAATTCGAACGGCCGGCTCGCGAGGTGCGACGTAATGGCGCGATCGCGGACCATTCAGCGCAAATTAATATTTCTATCGATCCATCCGCCACGGCGGGGTATAAATAGAATCTGATTAGCCCAATTACTTTCGTTGCACGGGGAGGAAGAAAAAAAAAAGTAGGGTTCGCGACGAACCGCGCTGAACTTCTTGCTGCATTGTGCTCCGCGTCGGTCCCGTCGGTTCGCGCGAACGCGCAAATGCTGCGGTCTAATAATACCGATCCGGAGCGACTTAACCCGTTGTAAACGTCGATCCGACGCGTATTCGCATTCACCCGCTTTGCGATCGAATTAATTCGCAAGTGCCGTCCGACGAGAACGTCGCAAAGTACGCGGCGGGAAAATGTTCGCCGGAAACCGCTTTCTCGTGTTACTTTTTCTTTAACCAGTTAACTGTGTTCGTCATGGAGAAGTGGCAGTATATATATATATATATATTTTCTGTCACGACGAGTATACTCGTCATGGGGTCGCGGCAGTAGTTTGTGGGTCACGACGAGTATACTCGTCACGGAGACACGACACTATTTTCTGTCGCGACGAGTATATTCGTCGTGGAGAAGCGGCAGTATTTTGTGAGTCACGACGAGTATAATCGTCATGAAGACGCGACAGTATTTTCTGTCACGACGAGTATACTCGTCATGGGGTCGCGGCAGTAGTTTGTGGGTCACGACGAGTATACTCGTCACGGAGACACGACACTATTTTCTGTCGCGACGAGTATATTCGTCGTGGAGAAGCGGCAGTATTTTGTGAGTCACGACGAGTATAATCGTCATGAAGACGCGACAGTATTTTCTGTCACGACGAGTATACTCGCCATGGAGTAGCGGCAGTGTTTTATGTCAAGATTATTTCGCGTTATTTTCGTTGATTATGTATATTAAGCGAATAAGCAAATATTAGTACTAAAATCGTCGATTTTACAAAATAAAATTTCGCTCGACGAGTATACTCGTTGTCGCTCGATCCTCGCGACACATATACAGGTGCGCGGTCTTAAAAGGAGGCGCCACAGCCAACTGGTTAAATCGATCGAAACTGTTGCGTGACATTTTAGAATCGTCGAAAGGAGCGTTCGCGAATTTTTTTCGCGTCGCTCGAAGGCTCGGAGACCGGCGAGGACGCGGAATATGTGAACTGTTCGCAGGATCGAAAAATCGGATGAAAAATCGCGGCCGTATCGCGACAGCTGTTTCGAACCGATAGCCGCGAATTAGAGCGCGAGACGACGATGAAATGTCGCGGATCCCGGCGCCGTTTCGCCGTCGATTTCGAAATTACTAGATTAGAGAAAGTTCGCAAAGCGCGGCTCGGCCTTTCGCGTTCGTCCAGTTTGCTCCGGCGCGCAATTATACACGGTAGTTTCCGCGATAACGCCGCCGCGGGGCAATCAATGACACACGACGACTATTACCTTCCTTCATTGCCAACGGAAATGCGTCGGTAATAACCCCGGGGGCCTATCTGATCGTGTCAGCGTCGGTCGGCCGCGGGAATATAGCATGAATTTTTCCGTGCGCGTAACTTTGTGTTTCCGATCGCGATCTAGAGATCCCAGAGGAAAGGGACAACCTCGAGTCGAGATTAAAAAGAAAAACTCCGCGCCGACTTCGAGTGCTAAGAACATGCTCGCTGTGTCGGTTCGCGATTATTATATAAATCTGGCCAGATGCGCGTGCGTACAGTTGCGGTCGCGAAAACGACGAATTTTTATTGCAATGGTAAAAATATCGTTATAATATATATAAGTATATTATATACTAATATATATAGTATATCGTTATATATATAAATATTTAGTTCGTTTCATTTTGAAATCTGGAGATGCATCGTCTTAACGCTTCGATTGCTATGCCAACGACCAGAAAATCTTCGTAAAATTGTCCTAATCTGTTTAACCAAATTAAAACTGAAAAGTTAAATCGTATAACATATGATATATAATATAAATATAATATAAAATAATAGTCTCGATATTCTTACGTTTTACGGAATCTAATAAAATTAGAAAGACTGAACAAGTTAGCGTAAGCGACGGTCAAAGTGCCATAATTTCAAAGCGAATTTCAATACTGAAACTACAATCGTGCTTTTTCGGATACGCGAGAGACGTCGTTTCGGATCAGATTCGCGCAATCGCGGCGAATTTTACCGATATCTATTCTTTTCGTCTCGATATTTTTCCCCTCGCTACGCTACGGAGGACAAATTTCGTTCACGCGAGGGAGGACGCAATTAGCGGGCGGCGTATTTAATTAGCGTATTGTATCGCTAAAAAACGAGCCTCGGCAAAGTTTAGCAGTCGCCTCCCATTTTTGTCGTCCGGTTGAAATGTTTCACGAGCCTTTTTCCACGAAGTCTAATTGGTCCTTAAAAATTCGGGACAGCGATACGTAGCCCGGATTTCGTGCAAAAGCGTACGCGAAAAGCGCGGCGCACAGTTGCATTGACATAAATTGTCGCAGCTTAACGCATGGCGGAACTTTTTCTTGGCCGCCCGAGTTCATTAAAACGAGCATCCCGTAATTATCAATAGCGTCCGGTTTTTGTTAATTAGTTCGACGACGGTCTCGCGGCAACGCCTACGCGTTTATATTTCATTTTTTATCCTTTCTTCCGTCCTTACATCCCCTATTTTTATTCCCTTTTATTCGTCCAGATTCTCTCTCCCGAGGGTTGCTATTGTTGTTCCTCGGCCTCTGAT